CCATAATTTTAAAAGTTGCTTTGAATATGGCAAGAGGGTTAAAGGTAACTATGTCATTATATTTTAAATGAGCAAATAATCACTTTGCAGGACATCTTTGAATGTGGAATATTGTTACTAGTCAATTCCAAAAAGGGGCTAATGTAAAACTATAGGCTTAACATTTCTGCTTCCGAATTACATTTATGTGTATGTAGCTTAGTATGTTCTGAGCAATGTGTCATTTGGCAGTTTCATCACTGTGCGTGTGGATATCATAGTGTACTTACACACACTTAGATGGTAGAGCCAACTACACACTTAGACTATGTGGTATAGCCCAGTTCTCCTATGCTGCAAACCTGTATAGAATGTTACTATACTGAATACTATAGGCAATTGTAACACAGTGGTAAGTACTGTGACTAAACACATTGAAACATACAAAAGGGCTGGGCGCAATGGCTCGCGCCTGTAATCCCAGCACTTTGGGAGGCCAAGGTGGGCAGATCACGAGGTCAAGCGATTGAGACCATCCTGGCCAACATGGCGAAACCCCGTCTCTACTAAAAATACAAAAATTAGCTGGGCATGGTGATGGGCACCTGTAATCCCAGCTCCTTGGGAGGCTGAGGCAGGAGAATCGCTTGAAACTGGCAGATGGAGGTTGCTGTGAGCCCAGATTGTGCCATTGCACTCCAGCATGGGCAACAATAGCAAGACTCTGTCTTGGAAAAAAAATAAAGTATAAAAAGTTAGCTTAAATATATATCTATTCCTAAAGAAACTTTTAGACTTCTGGTCAGTGTGGCAGACTGAGATAACCTGAGATGTTCCCTTCTCTTGCTTCAAATAATTTGAAATGCTGGGCCAGGCACAGTGGCTCACACCTGTAATCCCAGCACTTTGCGAGGCTGAGGCAGGTGGATCACTTGAGGCCAGGAGTTTGAGGCCAGCCTGGTCAACATGGTGAAAGCTTGTCTTTACTAAAAACACAAAAATGAGCCAGGCGTGGTGGCATGCACCTGTTGTTCCAGCTACTTAGGAGGCAGGCTTAAGCAGGAAAACAGCTTGAACCCAGGAGGCAGAGGTTGCAGTGAGCCGAAATTGTGCCATTGCACTCTAGCCGGGGCAACAGTGAGACTCCATCTCAAAAAACAAAAAACAAACGAAATGCAAGTTTAAACTTTAGGGAGTTCAAATTGTTATTTTGATTTGGAGGTTATTACATTTTTTATTTATGTTTCTGCTCATGTGTGTTAAATTTCTTACTATTTTAGTATCTGCACCAAGAGAAGAAACTGCTTCATGGAGACATAAAGTCTTCAAATGTTGTAATTAAAGGCAATTTTGAAACAATTAAAATCTGTGATGTAGGAGTCTCTCTACCACTGGATGAAAATATGACTGGTAAGTCGTACTCTAAGTTTTAAAATTTTGTTTTTAATGTTTACATTTTTAAATATAGAAGTCCACGTGGATCAAAAATCAAAAACTTTTTTTAAAGTATATGGTAAAAAAGCCCTTGTTTTTTCTCTTCCAGTAAGCCTGCAGTCCTCTCCCTTGCTACATGTACGTTGTAAATTACTATATTAGTGGTAGTAGTATTAATGTATATTTTAATTGGAGTTAACTTTGGGAAAGATTTCTAACTGAATTGGGATATTTATGCAGTAAAACATCTGGGAATAGAAAGTAAAAGGTTTGTAAAGCAGCATCAGTAAAGCGACAACATTTAGGAACCTGGTAGAGGAAACCAGACTGAAGCAGGAAAGAGAGGTGCTGATGAAGGCTGGTCTTCAGCTCTTTGCCCCTTGGCCCACCCCAGCTCATTCTTCTCTACTGTATATACTGATCATTGGCTTCTCAGGGAATTTAAGATCTGTTCTTGGTGAGAAATAAGAGCCTCAAGAGAAAGCCTCTGCTTGCAACGTATTATTTAGTAAATAATACTTAAATTTGTCTCTTTATATAAACCTGAGTTAAACAAATGGTTAATAGATGCTGTTTAGAACATATATATGCCTAAATTTCTAGCTGAAATAAAAGTTGAAGGCAAGAGGCAGGATGAAGCTACAGACTTGATAAATAAAAGTCTGTAATCATTAATAAAAATAGAACTGTTGTTCTAAATAACTGTGACCAAGTAGAAACTTTAGGAAGTAAAAGAATAAATTGTCAAACATAATAAAACTGAGGGTTTTTAAAGTATAGTTTTCTCAATCCTTAATAGATCAAACAGACAAATGTAAGGATGTTAAAGATGTGAGTAAATAGCAAGGCAAGTCTCTCAGCACCATAGTATGTATTAAAATTGACCATATTCTTAGACTTCAGATTATAAAAAGTATAAAGTCTAATAAGTGATATTCCTTAACATCAGTGCTGTTAATCTAGAAATTTGTAATAGAAAACAAAAACTCCCAACTTTTTAGGAATTTAAAACACTTCTGACTAATTTTTGGCTAAAGAGAGAAATCAGTTTCCATTTATAAAGTATTTAGAAAATAATGAGACTATATGGTCAGAACTACTCAAAAACATTTTATGAAATTGAGTATTCAACTGAAATTGAAAAACAGAAAGCAGACATAAATTTGAAAGCCTAAATTCTACATAATCTTAATGTGATCTATTTTAGAACATGTCAGAATGAATGTAAAGTTCCTCCTTGAGGATACATGATCAAACATTTAGTGGGGGAAAGTCTCCTGAAAGAATGAGGAAGAGGAATCTCCTGACTAGATAAAAAGTTTTATAAAGTTACAGTAATTAAAGCAGTGATACATAAGAGTCAGGAAATAGTTTCCAAATAGAGGAATTTGTTGTGTGATTAAGGTGGAATTTTTGTATTAGTGAGAAAATAGGTAGTTAGTGAATGATGTTATCTGGACATTTTAGGGAAAAAACAGCTGTTTTCTATCCTTATACTTTAATCCCCATATTCTGAAAATTGGGGGGAAAATAGAAAAAATTATAAATATTTCTTTAATGTTGGGTGTGGAGACAATTTTAAAGAAGACACTAAAGTTAGAAACCATCATTAAAAAGCTGTGACTACCTGCGTTTAAAAAAAAGTTCTGTATCACAGTGGGTTGGAGAGGAGCTGGGAGCTTAAGACATTACAAACTGAGGTAAACATGTATAAGACAGAGGCTTAATCTTTCTAATGCATTAAGAGTTATTAGCAATCAATGAGAAAAAGATAAAAGCTCTATCATGAAGAAACTGTTGAGAAATGAAAAAAATATCGATTTATTAGGAAAATATCTAATTATTTAAAAGCTAAGTAACAATGAGATAACTAATCTATCAACACTTTAAATTGTTAAACATTACTCCATTCCTCCATTAGACTTGTAAGCTCTAAGATGGGAATCTTGTTCACTAAAATATCCTCAACCCCTAGAATAGTGCCTGACTTTTAAATATATTATTGAAGGGATAACAAGATTGCTAGTATGAGCAACAATGTAGGTTAACATGTCCTCTCATATATTAAGTAGAAGTTTTAACTGCTGTTTTACTGAGGTAAGAAGAGGTCAATGTTACCACAGCAGAACCTAAACAACAGTGACTTATTACTCAAGCTGCATGGCCATTAGTGCCATGTTGTATGTCATTCTCCCTTTAGGACCTATGGTACACAGCTATCATTATGGGGAGGGTGACAAAGCATTCGGTACAGTAGTTATGAGCTGCATGTGGCTATGTACATTACTATTTAAAACACTGAAATTATTCTCAGCCACCCTAGCCCCAATTCAAGTGCTCAGTTAGCTACATGCAGTTAATGGTTACCACATTGGACAATGCAGCTTTAGGACATTTAATCATCATAGAAATTTTCATTGAGAAGTCTTGCAGTGATAATTAAATGCTCAAGCTCCGAAATGACAGAAATTTTTCCTTGTGGTAGAACCTTTCAGATGACAGTTTGGAAATCCGTATTTAAAACAAGAAAAAAATGCCCTTATTGCCAGAGTCATTCCCACCTGGGCCATGTCTGTAGGCTTTTCTCTTGTCATGAATTCCATGAAGTGCCTCTTAGGTATAAGGTATAGTATGGGGGAAAGCCTTTAATGAGCTTATAATGTCCATGACTGGCTTTTAAACTTTAATACCCAAAGCAGAACTAAGTACAAAGGCTCCATAGAGACATCACCCCTCTCTCCTTGTCTGCTGGTACTGGGTACCCTCCTAGTCTGGTATTTTTGTTGTTACTTAACAGAGCCTGTTCATCAGGCATACCTCCCAGAATGTTAATGGAACAAATTAGTGTTTAACTGTGGAATCTTCGATTTTTTGGCTTCTGGATTCTCACTTTTTTAAATATTAGTTTCTCCTTCCTTGCCTTGTAAATTTTATTGAGCTTTTCAAGGCAGAACTTACCACCTTCAGTTCTGGAGAACTGTGTTTCCCAGAAAACTGCCCCACTGTGTCTTTTATTGTTTCAAAATGATTTATCTTATTTGTGAGAAAATGGAGATTATTAGTAATCAAATACTAAAAAATGTCATTTTTTAGTATAATATACTCTAACACTGTCTAATATTCTGTTTGTAAGAGTTTGAGTTTACTCTAGTTACAGCAGAAATAAAGGTCTGTACAACACTATGGGAGAAAACAGTATGTATGTTGACCACAATGGAATTAACTTAGAAACCACAAACAGAATATCCAAGGAAACCCCAAATGTTTAGAAATTCAGTAACACAAATTTAAATAACCTATGAGTCAAAGAAAATGACAAGGGAATTGGGAAATGTTTTGAATAATAAGGACAATACGACATATCAAAATGTGCGAGCGAAAGCAGGGCTTAGAGGGAAATCTATAGTTATAAGTTATATTGGAAAAAAAGAAAAATTCTAAATGAAATAAAACCAAAAGCTGGTTATCTGAAAAGATAATGAAATGTATAAAACTTTATCTAGATTGATCAAGAAAAAACAGAACAGAAGTCACAAATAGCAGGAATGACAAAAGGGTCATCATTGTAAATTCTCACATTTAAAGAATTAGGCTATTACAAACAGGGTTATGGCTATAAATCCAACAACGTAGATGAAAAGATGACAATTTCTTTGAAAAATACAATTTACCAAAATTAATATAAGAATAGGAAATCCAAGTAGCCCTATGTCTATTAAAAACATCCCCACAAAGAAAACTCAAGACCCAGATATTTTACTGTTGATTTTCACCAAATATCCAAGGAAGAAATGACACCGATTTTACAGACTTTCTCAGAAAATAGAGGAATAGGGACTACTGCCCAGTTTGTTCTGAGATAAACATAACTCTAATAGGAAAACCCAACATATTATGGTACATCCCATCAATCCTGATACAATTATTGTGCACTGCATGCCTGTATCAAAATATCTCATTAACACATAAACATGTATACCTGCTATGTACCCAGAATTTAAAAAATAATAGTTCAATATCGTTCACAAACACAGATCTCAAAATCCTTAACAAAATATTAGCCAATTCAGTCCAACAGTACATAAGGACACTACATCTTAACCAACTAGGACTCAGTCCAGAAAGGAAAAGTTTAACATTCCAGAATCAATGTCCTCATTATGCTGTACTTTAGGTCACCAGAACTTACTCATCCTGCATAATGGAAACTTTGTGCCCATTGTTAACAATACTGTACACTTGAGATTTGCTGAGAGTAGATCTTCAGTATTCTCACACACACAATAAGAAAACGGTAACTATATGAAGTGATATGTTAATTAGCTTGACTGACCATCAGGTCACAATATGAAACAAAGTTGTATACCTTAAACATATATAATTGTCAGTTATACTTGAAAGCTGGGGACAGTCAATATCACCATATTAACAAATTTGAAGACTATGTATCATCTCAATAGATACAGAAAATGTGTTTGACAAAATCCAACATCCATTTTTGATTAACAAAAAAAAAGGTAATCTCTCAGCTAACTAGAAATAGAAGGGGGATCTTACCTTGAGAAAGGCTGTCTACAGAAGAACCTGCAGGTATCATACCGTAGTACGGAACAAGCCAGGATGCCTTCTCTTACCACTGTTACTGAACAGTACTATAGCCCTAGCCACTGAAATAAGGAAAGAAAATGAACGCAAAATTGGAAAGGAATCCCAACAGCCCCTATTTGCCGTTGATATGTTATTTAGATAGAAAATCCCAAGGAATCTATAAAACCACTATTAGATTAAGCAAAGTCAGCGATATTTCTATGTGTTAGCAGTAAATAATTGAAAATGGAATTGTTTAAAATCCATTTTACAAGTACCAAAACCCAAAATATTTCAGAATATAATATAACCAAAGATGTCTAAGTCCTCTGTAATGAATACTATAAAGCATCCCTGAGAAAATTCAGTAAGATATAACTAAGTGGAAAAATATATGACCGTGGTCTGGAAGACTCAATACTAATAAGATATTAATTCTTACCAAATAGACCTAGAGATTCAGTCCAGTCCTAATCAGAATTCTAGCTGACTTTTTCATTGAAATTGACAAGTTGACTAAAATTTCAATGGAAATGTGAGTGGACTCATTTCTTTCTTGGGCTTTACAAAAGAGCCAATGTGTGATTAGTCCCTTTCCCTTTTCTCTGATGTAGCAATCATGGAAGTATAGAAATGATACTTCTCTCAGCTTAATATTGTTCACAAAATGAAGAAATTCAAGTCTAGAAGTGATCTGCTCCAAGTCACACAGTTTGCACATGTCCTTGAACCCAAGCAAGGCAGTCTGGCTCCAGAGTCTGTAATTCTCAACATCCATATTTTGTATTGCTATTACTAAGAGAATTGCTGTTTTTCTACATACTTGCCAACTGACCAGCTTCTTGAATATTAACCAACCTGAAAGGTAGAAAGTAATCAAGGGTGTTTTCACATTTACTGGTTACACTGATTAACCTGTGAACTACTTGTTCAAATCATGGTTGCTTGCCTTTTTCTGATTTCTAGTGCCTGCCTTCATAACCGTTTTGCTTGTTTCAGTGACTGACCCTGAGGCTTTCTACATTGGCACAGAGCCATGGAAACCCAAAGAAGCTTTGGAGGAGAATGGTGTTATTACTGACAAGGCAGACATATTTGCCTTTGGCCTTACTCTATGGGAGATGATGACTTTATCCATTCCACACGTTAATCTATCAAATGATGATGATGATGATGATGATGAAGGTATGAATACAATTTCTAACATAAATCCCAATCTCTTCATTTCATACTAAAGATTAGTTTATATAATCATATTTTATCATTCTTTATCTTTTAAAATTTGAAAGAGCAAGTTATATGATTCAGTGGCATAATTTCTAAAATGTATATTAATTAGTACTCATGACTGATTTGGTACCACCAAGGTTTAATCTCTCACAAATGAGATGTACATTAAGAATAGGGAGAAAAATTGAGGCTGTCGGAGAAGCAAAAAATGACCTTAAAACTCTCCTTACCTGAGAAAAAGATTGGAAAGCTGTCACAGGAAGGGTGGGAGTAGGGATCTATAACCTATAAATCCAAACTAAAGCCAATCTATTTGAAAGTAAGACAACTGAAGACAGCTCCATTCTGTCTATGGCTGAATGGAAACCATACTGGACCATAAATTCTTATTTCAGGAGGAGGGTGAGCTCTCAAGCTTTTCCACGATATAAACTGATTGTGTTGTTTGTTTTAATCTCTAACTCCTTCAAGATAAAACTTTTGATGAAAGTGATTTTGATGATGAAGCATACTATGCAGCTTTGGGAACTAGGCCACCTATTAATATGGAAGAACTAGATGAATCATACCAGAAAGTAATTGAACTCTTCTCTGTATGTACTAATGAGGACCCTAAAGATCGTCCTGCTGCTGCACACATTGTTGAAGCTCTGGAAACTGATGTCTAGTTATCACCTCATCTGAAGTGTGGCTTTTATATGTAACTTTTTCCCAAAACATTTATATAGTTACTATCAGCAGTTATTAGACTCTCTAAAATTGGCATATTTGAGGACCACAGTTTCTTGTTAGTGTAGATAACTATTTCTAATATAGGCATATTTCATACTTGTTAAGCACTTGGAATTGTACTGGGTTTTCTGTAAAGTTTTAGAAACTAGCTATGTAAGTACTTTGATGTTGCTCATGCAGAATTAAAACACTAGCAATAAAATGCTGTAAACTGTATAACATTAATTTTAGTGATTAATTTTTAAAATATTCAGTTTTAATGGATCTACCGAAATTAGCACTTTGTACAGTACAAAATAAAGTCTGTATTTGTCTATATTTTACAACTTTGAAACTTTTGCTGATGTGTTTATCAAATAACTGGAAGCTGAGGAGAATATGGCTCAAAAAGAGTAGCTCCTTGGCTACTTCAGACTCTGGTTATACCTTGTCTTGATCTCTTGGATCTTCTCAGATCTTTGGTTTTTGCTTTAGTTTATTAAATGTATTTTCTATACTGAGATTTTTAAAAATTTAAGTATTTCCCAGTTGTGTAAAAACAATAAAACTCAAATAGGATGATATAGAATAAAGGACACTTTGAGTACCAGAAGGTGTCTCAGCATTATTTTATGTTTAATTGATTTGAGTACTGTCATTAAACTTGTTGACTGCATGAGAGTAAGTTTCCTTCCCTCTCTTGGCCTTATTTTGCTAATCTGTAATACGAGGTTTTGGATCAGTAGTTTCTGTGAACCATAGTCCCCTGGGAATTTTCCAAATTACTGAATTGTAAATGTATGTGGTATACCTAGATTTGGGTGTAGACAGAATTTTAAAAATTACAGACACGGGGTTCTTAGAAACATTAGGAACAAGTGCACTCTGAATTTTAAGAATGCCTAGAAATGCTGGATGCATCACACTACCAGACTTCAAACTAGTAAAGGCTACAGTAATCAAAACAGCATGTACCAAACAGAGATAAAGACCAATGAAACAGAACAGAGGCCTTCCTTGGAGGCAACACCACACATCTACAACCATCTGATCTTTGACAAACCTGACAAAAGCAATGGGGAAAGGATTCCCTGTTTAATAAATGGTGTTGGAAAAACTCGCCAGCCATGTGCAGAAAGCAGAAACGACCCCTTCCTGACACCTTACACTAAAATTAACTCCAGATGGACTAAAGACTTACACATAAAACCTAACACCAGAAAAACCCTAGAAGAAAATCTAGGCAAAACCATTCAGGACATTGGCATAGGCAAGGACTTCATGATCAAAACACCAAAAGCATTGGCAACAAAAGCCAAAATAGACAAATGGGACTTAATCAAACTCCACAGCTTCTGCACAGCAAAAGAAACAGTCATTAGAGTGAATCGACAACCAACAGAATGGGAAAAAGTTTTGCAATCTACCCATCTGACAAAGGGCTAATATCCAGAATCCACAAAGAACTAAAACAGATTTACAAGAAAAAAGCCCATTCAAAAGTGGGCAAAGGATATGTAGACACTTTACAAAAGACGACATATGAAACCAACATATGAGGCCAACAAATATGAAAAAATGCTCATCATCACTGGTCATTAGAGAAATGCAAATCAAAAGTACATCGAGATACCATCTCATACCAGTTAGAATGGCGATCATTAAAAAATCTGGAGACAACAGACACGGGAGAGGATGTGGAGAAATAGGAACACTTTTACACTGTTGGTGGGAGTGTAAATTAGTTCAACCATTGTGGAAGACAGTGTGGTGACTCCTCAAGGACCTAGAAATAGAAATTCCATTTGACCCAGCAATCCCATTACTGGGTATATATCCAAAGGATTATAAATTGTTCTAGAAGGACACACGCACACAAATGTTCACTGCAGCACTGTTTACAACAGCAAAAACTTGGAACCAACCCAAATGCCCATCGATGATAGACTGGATGGGGAAACTGTAGCACAAATATACCATGGAACACTATGCAGCCATCAAAAACGATGAGTTCGTGTCCTTTGTAGGGACATGGATGAACCTGGAAACCATCATTCTCGGCAAACTGACACAAGAACAGAAAATCAAATACCGCATGTTCTCACTCATAGGTGGGTGTTGAACAATGAACACATGGACACAGGGAGGGGAGCATCACACACTGGGGTCCGTGGGGAGTTGGGGGGAGAGAGCATGGGGAGAAATGCCAGATACAGGTGATGGGGAGGAAGGCAAATCACACTGCCATATGTCTACCTATGCAAAAATCTTGCATGTTCCTCATATGTACCCCAAAACCTAAAATGCAATTAAAAAAAAAAAGGAAACCTGAATTTAGGAGACATATCAAAATTCAGGATAATGGTTAGTTGGGGGAGAGACTCTGGAATGGAGGGAATGGGCTTAAATGGTATCTTCATGGTTTATTTTATAACAACATTTGATCAAGAAAAATAGGGTGCAATGCTAATTTGTTATAGCTGAATGGTAGGCACAGGGGTCTCATGTTATTCTCTGTATTGTATATTTTGGAAATAAAATTTAAAAATAAGAAAAAAAAATGCCTAGGATCACGGAAGGCCTGTTAGTGTAAGATTGTACTAAGAAACAGTACACAGATCATTAATTCGCATATTTTCCCATTAAAATATTAAGGTGACAAATTGGAAGTTGCCTTAATCCGGAGAAAAACGTATGTATAATTTTGCATCCTGATACTCAATAGGGTCTCTCATCCTCACTCTGACATGTATATTGAGTCATTCTTTTTTGTCAAGCCAACAGAGTACTTTCTCCAGGACATTCTTTTCTTAGCAGGAATAGCAGTTGCTGCTTTTAAGACATAAAAAGCAGGAATTGGATCTTTAACACATAAGCCATTGCTTTTCATTGAGAAATTTGTTTTAGTTCCGCTAACTGGGATATCTAATAGGAATAAATAATAACAAGGACAAGGCCAGCAAATTCATAGTCCTTGTCTATGGCAGATGTAATAAAATAAACGCAGCATGCACTGCCCCTTAAGTCTGGTTAAGGTCCTAGAAACCCTTACCACAAGATTGTAGACAATCTGCTACCAAGTGGATGGAAATTTTTAAATTCTTGTTCTAGAACTTGCTCTTTAAGTCTCAGATGTTATCTTTTTGGACATTTGCCTCATTCTCAAAAGGAAAACGTGATTTGGCTGAGGGCTGCCTTTTTTTTTTTTTTTTTTTTTTTTAAACAACAGGGTCTTGCTTTGTCACCCAGGCTGGAGTACAGTGGGGTAATCATGGCTCACTGCAGCCTCAACCTCCCAGGCTCAGGTGATCCTCACACCTCTGCCCCCACCTCAAGTAGCTGGGACTATAGGTGTGTGCCACCACACCTAATTTTGTTTTGTATTCTTTGTAGAGATGGTTTCACCAAGTTGCTCAGGCTGGTTTGTAATTCCTGAGCAACCCTCTGCCTAAGGTCTCTTAAACTGCTGGGGTTACAGGCCTCATGTAAGCCACTATGCCCAGGACTACCTTTTCACTGAATTAATTAGTAAATCAAAATAGCCGCCTCTCAAGTGGCTTTCTCACCTCCCAGAAAATCTTTCTCTTTAGAATCGGTAGAAGGCCTCCAGGAGCTTATTATGCCTCCATAAAACGAGATAATCAGCAGCTGTTTGAGAAATGTTGATCATTCTTTCATGTCTCCTGGAACCTATTTAATCTTCTACAATCTGTTGATTAGAATAAAAATTAGAAAGGATTTTAAACTACACAAATGCTATATAAAAAATGCTATATACATCAGGTAAGAATTTAGGAAAAACAAGGCAAGACTCACATCTTAGTCTACTATAACAAAAATACCATAAACTAGGTGCCACGTAAACCACAGAAATTTATTTCTCATAGTTCTGGAGTCTGTGAAGTCCAAGATCAAGGTAGTATCTAGTGAGGGCATCCTCACAGAAGGCACTTTCTGGCTGTGTCCTCACATGGTGGAAGGAGCAAGGGAGCTCCCCCACCCTCTTATAAGGGTGCTAATTCTTTTTTCCTTTACATTTCCTTGAATTAAGGGCACTAATCCTTAAGGGTTAGTGGGTGGTCAAGAAGGACCACCATCATGACCCATTCACCTTCCTAAGGCACCACTTATGAAGGTATTACATCATCTTGCTGGTTAGGGTTTCAACCTATGAATTTTGGTGGCACACATTCAGACCACAGTACCTCCCTTCGGGGAGCAGGGGAGAGAAAGAAATTTAAAAAACAAAACTTACAGAGAATACAATTAACAATGCTAATCTTTAAAAATACTAACAAAATTGATAAATCCCTTGGCAAAACTTATCTATGGAGAAAAAAGACATGTCATGAATGAAAATATAAACAAAAGCAAAACTAGACAACCTATAGATACCCAATATAATTCATGAACACGTGAAAAATCCTAAAAAAAAAAATTTAGTTAACTGAAATCAGTAACATAAAAAATAAAAACATCAAGACCAAATTAGGTTTGGTTTATTTAGTTCAGGAAGGCTAGACTGCTTTAACATTCAAAGAACAATTTAATTGCCACATTAACAATGAAGAAAAAATCATCTCCAAATATCACAGAAAGACTTTGTATAAAATCTGAGTATCTGTTCAAGATATTTGAGAGCCTCCTAGAAACCTAGCAATAGAGGAACTTCCTTAATATTAGAAAGTTATCTACAATGAAGCTATAGTAAACTTCATATTTAATAGTAAAATGTTGAAAACTGTACATATTAGCAATGAAACAAAAATATCCCTACCATTGCTTTTATTCAACACTGTACTGGACTGGCAATCTTAGAAATGCAATACTGTAAGAACGAAAAAGCTGTGAGATTCTAAAAGAAATATAACTCATTCACAGATATTACGTATATAAAAATAGATAAATAGAATTAAGTTTAGAAAGGTTGCTGAATGCAAAGTCAAAACATAAAAGTTGTATTTATTTATCAGGAAACAAGATGTAATTTAAAACACTTTTTCCAAAGGCTTAAAAAAAAGTATGGGCCGGGCATGGTAGCTCACGCCTATAATCTCAGCACTTTGGGAGGCTGAGGCGGGTGGATTACTGGAAGTCAGGAGTTCAAGACCAGCCTGGCCAACATTGTGAAACCCGTCTCTAGTAAAATTCCAAATTAGCTGGGCATGGTGGCCTGTAATCCCAACTACTCGGGAGGCTGAGGCAGGAGAATCACTTGAACCTGGGAGGCAGAGGTTGCAGTAAGCCATTGCACTCCAGCCTAGGTAGAAACAGCCAAACTCCGCCTCAAAAAAAAAGTATCAAATACATGACCAACTCTAAAAATCAGTTCTCCCAAATTGATCTATAGATCTGATGGAATTCCACTAAAATCCCTTATTTGAATTTTTGTTTTTAGTGGCTTTTTGTGGAATAAATTGATTCTAAAATGGAAATGGAAATGCAAAGTCCAAGAAAAGACAAAACATTCCTGAATAAAAAAAAGGGTGGGACCATGTACTAATAATATAGGAAACATTAATATTACAATAACAGAGTCTGGTATTGGCATAAATAAAACCTATAAGACTGGTAAGAATAAACAGCAGAAATAGACATACATATATATGGGCACAAATTATGACAAAGACCCCCAGGAGGATGCCTGAAACCACAGACAGTACTTGACTGCCCTCAGTCGGAATGTTTTTGTGCATGTCTTCTGCCCACAAATTTAATGCCTTTTCCATCTTAACTGAGCACTTATCACCCACTGTGACTACTCTGAATGGTGAGAATTTAAAACTTATGAATTCCTTACTTCTAGAAATTTCCATGTAATATTTTTGGTAACAAACTGTGGGAAATGAAATTGCAGATAAGGTGGGACTGCTGCACAAGATGATTTAGGCTCATCTTGTACATTCATTGCCCTATCCCTAGAATGAGCCAGTTCTCCAAAGAGCCCCAGGTCCTTTTGTGGAGGAAGGTATTAGTAAGCAAGATCTGGCTGGGTGCGGTGGCTCACACCTATAATCCCAGCACCACGGGAGGACTGCTTGAGCTCAGGAGCTTAAGGACCAGTTGGGCACCATGGTGAAACTATGTCTCTGCCAAAAATACAAAAATTAACTGGGCGTGGTGACATGCTTCTGTAGTCCGAACTACTCAGGGGGGCTGAGGTGGGAGGATCACTTGTACCTGGGAGGTTAAGGCTGCAGTGAGCCATGTTTGTACCACTGCACTTCCGCCTAGGGTGGGGAAAAAAAAGAAAGCAACCAACCAAGATCTGGGTGGTAGGTGTGCGCACTGCCATTGGGGTATTGTTGCTTTGAGACCTTCTCAGTGCACTTGCTTCTTGTATGTGTTAAATTAAACAAAAACAAATAATCCACCCAATCAAGCCAACAGTATCAACAGCAAATCATGTTATTATATTTAAAATAGAAAAAGTTCCTGAAATACAACATATCTAAGACATACCGAAATGAAGCAAGATGCAAAATAACTGCATATGTATGTAGTTAATCTAAAGTACTACACACTACACCCAAAGCAGGATAATGGGAAGCCTCTTCTTTTGGCAATCTCTATTTCTATATATGAATTTTGTTAACATATATTATTTTTAATGATAAAATATAATTTAAAAAATCAGATTTACTTGTATAAACTAAACTATTAAATAATTTTAATTGATCACAAAATCATTAAGCAAGCAAAATGCTAATTAAAATTTTTAAATAAAATTTAAAAAAATAAACAGAAGTGCAGAAAACAGCACTAAAATGTTTGCATAATTACTTCCACATTCTTTTGGGAATCCAGGCTTTTAAATTTTGGAACCATGTTAACTTACAGGCAAATAAAATGAAAGCAGATGAATAGTTCCTATGTATAATTACAATCTATAAAACAACGTGCCTAGAGTCTTATTGCTAGCAGTTGAATGATTTTTTAGAATCAGAACAATTTGAACAGTTTTCCTTTTTAAAGCATCCAAGAATTATACGAGCAAAATGTGCGAACATTTCGTTGTATTTACAGTGTCATGGTCTCTGATCCACCAGCATATGTATATTTACTAACCTTGGTTCTATAACCATATATTTTGTAAAGACTTTTGCCACATAGAACAAGTAAGGTGCATTTTAAATAAGCAAAAAATTAGAAAATGAAGCCAAATGTATCATCAACTCCAACTAGGCATTTTGTTAATGACATCAATTGCCAGTAATAAGTTCCTAAAGCAGTACTACCAATATTTCCAAACAAAAAAAGTAATGAAATAGTGCAATCATTAAGTATAATTTTAAATCTGACACATGAACATTTAATTTTATTTTCAAAAAGATTAAACATTAAGCTATAGATTTCTGCTCTACAGAAATGCAAATAGGATAATATTATTCCTTACCATCTTGTTACAAAAAAGAAATTCTAAACATTTCCTAAAGATATTCAAACTGAGTTAGTACAGATGAGTGCCTACCAAGTAAAGAATTGGTATAGAAAAGTCAGGAATGATGCTGGGTACGATGGCCCACGACTATAAGTGCTTTCAGAGGATCGCTTGAGCCCAAAAGTTCCAGCTCGGAAAACACAATCAGACCCCTGCCTCTATTAAAAAAAAAAAAAAAAAATTCAGGAATTCCCTTTACAAATTGAGCATAGAAATTACTTGCCCAAGTGTAAATTTGCCTCTTTGCTTCTGATGGGGCATTAGATAATCCGGTCTAAGAGTGTATTCTGTAGAAGACCAGGTCACATTTCTAGACAAAAATCACTTTCCTTCATCAATGTTCTTACATAACAGTCAAGTAATTTTCCAGTTATAGCTACAAAATATCAGTGTAATTGTAATTAACAATTCAGAGTGCCAATCAGTAAATCACCCCAAGATTTTTCCTTCCTTTGAATCCCAGATAATTTTCAACAAATTTAATTCCTGACTTTTCAACTCATAAGGAACAAAACTGTGATGTGTGTGTGCGTGTGTGTGTGTGACTAAGTGTGAGCTTGATATTTTTCTGATATTAAATAGTATTTTATAATAAAGATCTCTCTGAACTTATTGAGACAGTAACTGCTTTATAACTGAAATCAGTTCAACTATTAAAATTATATACAAGAAAATTAGGAGTGTTGCAGTACTTGGTCGCAAATAACTTGCCATCTGGTGTCGGGTCAGAAAATGCTATTTCATCAGTGCTGAGAAAACAGCCAAACATGAAGCAATTCCTGAAAGAGGAAAAGATGATTTAATAATGGAAGCAACTTAACATTCTAATTTACATGAGCACAGTTTAAGTAAATACTCTTGACTTAAAGCAATCTTATTTTTAGTAAGTGAAAAAATGCCTCATATTTTAGAGAAAGAAGTCCAATGATACCATTTCAAAGATGAGAAAACTAAGGTCCAGAAAAAATTCTGCTGAGAGGCAAAGGGAACCATCCATCTAACTCTAGGATATCCATGGTAAAGAACAACTATCCATGGTAAATATAAGATCATATTGCTAATTAAAAGTACAAATAATTAGAACAAACAAAAAAATCACCAATTTTAACCAGTAACTGTATTTTTTGCAAAGAAAACATGCACTCAGAGCTTTAAGAAGGCAAAAACAATCTGCATTTTGACTACTCTCCTTGATCTTGCCCACCTTAGGATTAAAAGTAACAAGGAAATAGTTAATTTAACATCTCCCACAACTTGTTTGTGAAAGAAAAAAAAAAAAGAGAATCAAAATTGAGGGATATTGTGTAAAATAACTGGCCTGCGCTCTTTAAATTCTTCAGTGTCAAAAGCCTAAACTTTTCCAGATTAGGGAAGACGAAGACTAAGGAGATATGACAACTAAATGCAGTATGAGTCACTGGGCAGAAAAAAAAAAATGCCATGAAGGACATTTGAGACAACAGACGAAAGTGAAATATGGACTGTCAGATAAAAGCATTATATCAATATTACATTTCCCAAATGTGATAACTGTATAAAATATAATATATTCTTGTTCTCAAGAAAAACACACTGATGAATGAAGGGGTAAAGGGGCGTAATCTATGTAACTAACTTTGAAATAATTCAGGAAGCTTATCTAAACACAGAATGGTAAAGCAAATGAGGTAAATGTTGAACTTAATGGATCTTGACAAAGTCTTACTATTCTTGCTGCTCTTTTGTAAATTTGAAATTATTTCAGAATGAAAAATTGAAGAATTTGATTCAGTTAGAAGACATAAGCTTCTAATATATTAACTATAATTAAATACATAATATGGTACAACTAGGTTACATACTGGTACTCCTCATACCAAATTTATATATCTATTTAATATAAAACATAGAAAAGAAGCATTTTAGCCAGGCACAGTGGCTCATGCCTGTAATGCCTATACTTTGGGAGGCTAAGGTGGGCAGATCACCTGAGGTAAGGAGTTCAAGACCAGCCTGACCAATATGGAGAAACCTCATCTCTACTAAAAATACAAAATTAGCTGGGCATGGTGGTGCATGTCTGTAATCCCAGCTACTCAGGAGGCTGAGGTGGGAGAATTACATGAACCTGGGAGGCAGAGGTTGTGGTGAGCCAAGATTGTGCCATTGCCCTCCAGTCTGGGAAACAACAGTGAAACTCCGTCTCAGGAAAAAAAAAAAAAAAAAAAGTGTTTCATAACTAATTGTCAAATAAAAATCTTTTTAAGATACCATTTTTTCCTACTGATACCCCCTTGGTAAGTATGTGCGGTTGACTATGGCCCAAGATTGGGTTCCCTTAGTGGTCTTGGTATTCATTCTTTAAAAGTGGCACAGAATGCAAGAGGCTTGAATAACACTATTCCAAGTGTGGTTTTTGGTTTGGTCAAAGTGTGGTTATCGGTTTGTACATTATCTGTCCACAATGAAATATGTGTAGAAGTTGAGAGAATAAGTCTTGTGAAACTCATCCATATAACCTGTATTATGTAAATTAGCAAACAAGCTCATTTGTGACACTGGAAACTTTAAACAGCAATGGTGTTAGTTCAGTTGTACACATTGGAGTTAAAAATGAAGACTAACGTTTTTGGTTGAGATATAACTCATACACCATAAGCCTCACCCTCAGTAGTCCTGTGTATGTTAACAAATATTGTCCAATCACCACCACTATCTAATTCTAGAACATTTTTATTATCCCAAACGCTGTACTGATTATTAGTTGCTCTCTTCAGTCCCTGGAAACTACACATCTACTTTCTGCCTCTGGAATTTGCCTGCGTCTTCTGAACATTTTATATAAATGTAATCATACAATGTGTGATCTTTTCCAACTGTCTTATTTCAATTAACATAATGTTTTCAAGGTTCCTCCATGTTGTAGTGTGAGCCAGAATTTCCTTTACGGCTTAATAATATCCCATTGTTATTACTCTATTGATATACCACATTTATTCATTAATCACAGATTGAATTATTTATCCTTTGGCTTTTATAAATAATGCTGCTATGAACTGTCATGTACAAGGTTTTGTGGGGATGTGTTTTCTTGAGTGTATACCCAGGAGTGGAACTACTAGGTCACATTAACAGTTTAACTCTGAAAAACTGTCAGATTGTATTCCACACCAACTGTACCAGTTTACATTCCTACCAGCAATGTACAAGGGTTTCAGTTTCCTCTACATCTTCACCAACATGTGTCCGTTTTTTGATTACAGTCATCCTACTGGGTATGAAGTGGCATCTCACTGTGGTTTTGTTTTGTTATTTTCCTGATACCTAAAGATGTTGAGCATCTTTTTATGTTGAATTAACCATTTGCAATTCATCTTTGGAGAAATGTCTACTGAAATTCTTTGTCCATTTAAATTCTTTTTATTGTTGTGTTCCAAGAATTATTTTATGGGTATCAGACCCTCTTTTGACAAAAGATTTGCAACTATTTTCTCTTGTTCTATGGATTGTCTCACAAATCCACTTTTTATTTAGTTATGTTTTTGAGTTATAGCAAGTCTTAATTACCTAGTCACTGTCAATGAACATGTACAGCTTCTGTAATTATGCAAACCTTTACTTTGTACAGGTTATATTTATTCAAGCATAATTTCAATCTGCTAAGCCTAATAAAAATTAGAGCTTATATTTTTGTTTTATTTTTCCATTTTTTTTTCACTTCTAACTATGCTATGTTTTTCCATTTTTTTCTAGCAATCCATTTTTATTTTATTAGTGTTGGTCTGTGACAAATTAAACTAGTCCTTTAGCACAGGTAGTTTGAAAAGCAGTGGGCCAGTATGTTTCAGACTTGGAATGTTGCGCCCAAGGCTGAGTACATCTAGTATTGTTTTTCTAGTGCCAATACCTTCCTTAGCCTGACTTTGATAGTTTTCATACAGAAGTATCATATCAATATCCTTCCCTTTACAGCTCAGGAGCCAAGAGATTCTGGGAAAGCTATGAACCTAAGGTTCTGGATCTAGATCCATTTTATTTCTTACCTGAGAGTATCAACCAGTCGTCTTGCAATGCGCTTTCTTCTCTTCAATCTGAAAACCCAGATTCTACTTATCCCACAGACAGCAGGTTCTGGCACATCTGAACATTGCCAAGCCCTAGGACATTCTTTAGAGTTTGGTGATTGCAGACCAGTTGGTTCAGACAGGACACGAAAGGCCTGCAATGATATACAGAAGCATCTACAGCTCACAACACAGATGAGCTCACAATGCTTTTAAAAAAATACACCTTCAACAAGTATCAAAAATTTAACTTTTATCTGCACCAAAAATGTTAATATTTTATATTTCTTAAATTCTTATCCATTTAGTCACACAATGCTTTAAAAAAATAGTTGAGACATTACACATTATAAAGCATCCCATACCAATATAAAACTTTCCTCTTTAAACAACTGTAAGCATTAGACTTCCTTTTAATAAAGTATATAAACCTCTTTCTCTCCATCCTAAAATGTATATATGACAACCTAAAAAAAATCAGTAACACTAAAGAACATTTATATCTATTAACTATGAAATCTGGTTGGCATTTAGAGTTTATTAAACATTTTTATTTTGAAATAGATTCATAAGAAGTTAAAAAACACTACAGAGGACCATGTATCCTTCCCTGAGTTATCCCCTATTACATCTTCCCTAACTGATATAATACCAAAACCATGAAATCACCATTGGTATAATGTGTGTATCATTCCATGACATTTAATAATACCTATATATTCATTTAACTGTTATCACAATTAAAGTACAGAACTATTGAGTCACCACAAATATCTTCTTGCTCATTAGTCACATCCACACGATCCCCCTCTCCCATCCCCAATCCCTGACAACCACCAATTTATTCTCCATGACTATAATGAGAATGTTATGTTAAACAAATGAAATCATACACCACATGATCTCTTGAGATTGTCTTTTTCCCACTCAGCATAATGCCTTTGAGACTCATATATCAATTCTTTGTTCCTTTTTGCCACTAAGTAATATTCCATCATATGGATGTACCATAGCTACTTTATCATTCACCTAAAGCATTTAAGGACACTTTGGTTGCTACCAGGTTTTGGCTATTACTAATAAAGCTGCTATTAACATTCTTGCATTCTTGTATAGGTTTTTGGGTGTACATCAGTTTTCATCTGTTTTTGTTAAGTGCCCAGGAGAACAACAGCTAGATCATATGGTAAATATAGTTTTTTTTTTTAAGAGACAAAGTCTCACTCTGTTGTCCAGGCTGGAGTGCAGTGGTACAATCTCAGCTCATTGCAACCTCCACTTCCTGGGTTCAAGCAATTCTCCTGCCTCAGCCACCCAAGTAGCTGGGATTAAGGCATGCACCACCACACCCAGCTAATTTCTTTGTTTTTAGTAGAGACAGGGTTTCGTCATGTTGGTCAGGTTGGTCTTTAATCCGACCTCAAGTGATCCGCCTGCCTCAGCCTCCCAAGTGTTGGGATTACAGGTGTGAGCCACGAAATCCAGTCAGGAAACACTGAACTACACTTCAGACCTAATGGACCTAACAGACATACATACAGTATTCCATCCATAGCAGCAGAATGCACATTCTTTTCTAATGCACACAGAACATTCACAACAGTATAAACTTAGAGATCAATGACAGGAGAAAAAGCGGAAAACTGACAAATATGTGAAAATTAAACCACATAATTTACCAGTGAACAACCAATAGAGCAACCAATAGAGCAAAGAAAAGGGAACAACCCTGAACAACCAATAGAGCAAAAAAAAAGGGAAATTGACAAGTTTCTTGAGACAAATGAAAATGGAAACACAACATACCAAAACCAATGGGATGCAGCAAAAGCAGTTCTACATAAAAAAGATCTCAAATAACCTAACATTACAACTCAAAAAATTAGAAAAAGAATAAAGCCCAAAGTTAGTAAAAGGAAAAAAATAAAGATCAGTAGAGATAAACTGGGACCTGAAAAATAGAAAAGATCAACAAAATTTATCTTTTGAAAGATAATAAAATTGACAAACCTTTAGTGAGACTAAGAAAAAAGATTCAACTAAACAGAATCACAAATGAAAGAGGAGATATTACAACTGATATCACAGAAGTACAAAGCATCATAAGAGACCATGAATAATTATAAACCAACAAATTAGGTAATGTATAAGAAATACATAAATTCTAAGAAACAGATGAATAAAAACCTACCTATACCAAATCATGAAGAAAGAGAAAATCTCGACAAACCAATAAAAAGGAGATCAGTTAAAAAAATAACTTGCATCAGAGGAAAGCCCCATCTGTGATGTCACTGCTAAATTCTACCAGGTGTTTAAAGAATACTAATCCTTCTCAAACTCTTCCAAAAAACTGAAGAATACCCTCAAAGTCATTTTACAAGGCTAGAATTAATTTGATACCAGAAAAGGAAACTACAAGAAAAGTTACCTACCGATATCCCTGATAAACAGATGCAAACTGGCACATTAAAAGGATAGTACACCATGATCCAATGGACTTTATCTCTGGATGCAAGGATGGCTCAACACATGCACATCAGTGTACTACATCATATTAACAGAATGAAGGACAAAACATCTTTTTTTTGAGACGGAGTTTCGCTCTTGTTACCCAGGCTGGAGTGCAATGGCGCAATCTTGGCTCACCGCAACCTCCGCCCGCTGGGTTCAGGCAATTCTCCTGCCTCAGCCTCCTGAGTAGCTGGGATTACAGGCACGCGCCACCGTGCCCAGCTAATTTTTTGTAATTTTTAGTTGAGACGGGGTTTCCCCATGTTGACCAGGATGGTCTCGATCTGTTGACCTCGTGATCCACCCGCCTCGGCCTCCCAAAGTGCTGGGATCACAGGCTTGAGCCACCGCGCCCGGCCCAGGACAAAACATCTTAATACAGGAAAGGCATTTGACATCCTTTCAGGATAAAAACTCTCAATAAATTAGATATAGACAGAATGTACCTGAATATACTAAAGGTTGTATATCACAAGCTCACAGCTAACATCATATAAGCAATGAAAAGTTGAAAGCTTTCCCTCTTAGATCAGAAACAAGACAAGGGTGCTAACTCTCTTCATTTCTGCTCTACATAGTTCTGGAATTCCTCACCAGAGCAATTAGGAAGAAAAAAAGAAATAAAGGCGTTCAAATTGAAACGAAAAAGTTAGTCTGTCTGCAACTGACATGAACTTAAATCCTAAATACTCCCAAAATAACTATCAGAAAAAAACAATACAGAAAAGGTGCAGGATACAAAATCCTGTGACAATTATTTTGTCGGTAGAATTTCTATATAGGAACAACAAACTACAAACTAAAAAAAGAAATCAAGAGACAATCCATTTACAATTGCATTAAAAAAAACCACTTATGAATAAATTTAACTAAGGAGGTGAAAGATCCATACACTGAAAAACTAGAAAACACTGATGAAAGAAGCTGAAGAATATCCACATAAATGGAAGGATACCCAGTGTTCGTGGCTTGGAAGATTCTATATTGTTAAAAAGTCCCTGCTACCCAAAGCAATCTACAAATGCAACATAATCCCTTTCAAAATTCCAAAGGCATTTTTCACAAAAATATACAAAAAGAATCCTAATATCCTATGGAACCATAAAAGATTACAAATAGCCAAAGCAATCTAGACAAAAAGAGTAAAGCTGAAGGTCATCACTCCTAGTGGCATTAAAACAGACATAGCAACCAATGGAACAAAACAAATAAAATAAAACCAGGCATTTAGACTCAACTGGTCTCTGACAAACATGCCAAGAACAAACAATGGGGCAAGAGCAGTTTCTTTGATAAATGATGTTGGGAAAAATGAATATCCACAAACAGAAGAATAAAATTGGAGCCTTATCTCACAACACATAGAAAAATCAACTCAAAATGGATTAAAAACTTAAAATGAGGGACCTCAAACTGTAAAACTAACGAAAAAAATGAGAAAAAAGCTTGACATTGGTCTGGGCCAATAATGTTGTGGCTATGATCCCAATAGCATTGGCAATAAAAGAATTTTAAAAAGTGACATCAAACTGAAAAGTTTCTACATAGCACAGAGTGGGGAAAGAAAACCAACCAACCTACTGATTGATTGGAAAAAGATATTTGCATATACAACAGGGAATACATATCCAAAATACACAACTCCATAGTAAGGAAACAAATACTCATAAAAATGGGCAAAGAAACAGAATAGATATTTCTGAAAAGACATAAAAATGAGGAACAGACATATGAAAAAATGCTCACTCATCATGACTATCCATCTGGGAAATGCACCTCACATCTGTCAGAATGATTACTATAAAAATACAACTACCATTTGCAGCAATCTCACTTCTGAGTATATATCCAAAGAAACTGAAATCAGTATGTCAAAGAGAAATCCGTACTCCCATGTTCATGGCAGCATTATTCATAGCCAAGGTATAGAATCAACCTAAGTGTCCATCAGTGGATGAATAAAGAAAAAGTGGTATATATACACATGGAATACCATTCAGCCTTTAAAAAAAGGAAATTCTGACATTGCAACATGAACGCACCTGGAGGACATTATGCTAAGTGAAATTAGCTAGGCAAGAAAGAAAAATAGTGCAAGATCTCACATATAGGCGATGAGAGAAAGAGGAAATGTTGGTAAAGGGTACGAAGATTCAGGATGAATAAATTCTGCAGATCTATTGTACGGCATGATGACTACAGCTAATGTATACTTAAAAATTGCTAGGGGAGATCTAAATGTTCTCATCAGAATAAGTTGATATGTGAAGTGATAGATATGCTAGCTTGATTTAGTCATTTTGCAATGTCTACCTGTATCAAAATATCACATTGTACACTGTAAATAACTGCAATTTTTGTCAGTTATACCTTAATAAAGCTGACAGGAAAGGAAAAGGCCAAATTGATCACTTATACTGGCAAAAATACAAACAAGCTGCTTCTCTCACCCAACTTCCAGTAACACAAGGAGAAACCATATGTCTTCTAGAAAATTGCTAATTGGTACCTAAATTAGAATCTAATTAAGGGATAAGTAATGACTACTTTGCCAAAAATATTAACCTTCACTAAGCCACATTTTTAAAAACTTAAGTCTATAGATCTGCTTACTTAAAATCACTAAACTTTATAGTTCAGCTGTGGAAATGACTATATGAATGTAAGATTGGCTTACCTATCTTGTTTATACAAAGCAAAATTCCAAATATTAAAAATAAATAACTTCAATTATCCACATGGTCAAGGATATTTCAGTAAAAAGAATGTCATTAATGATAGCAATCTTAAATGCTGACAGACTTCTAACTTTTCTCTTGATTTTGCCTGTAAATTATGCCAATAATTTAAATGAAATATACCATACCTGTTTGATGGGTTCTGCAATTAAACACCCAACTACTCTCTTTTCATCAGATATAAAAAGAAAAGTTTTTATTTTGTTTGGACATTTAGGAATAACTTGCTGGAAGCCCAATTCATTATCAACAAGTTCTTGGACATCTTCTACCTAATGATTTTAAAAACCAAGACAGGTGAATGTTTTAAAAAGTACAATAGAAACTATACATATTTATATACACAAAATGTATGATTACTGTTACTTTAGTCCTTAAATTATATTCCTTAAATTTATACACCTCCAAAATTATTTCACTATTGATGCATGTAGCTGCTACTGTGGAAACAAGGTTTTAAGAACCTATTTTAAAGATCACTTTTAGCAGAAATTCAGACACCTGGGAGGATAAGGAATAGGAAGCGTTAAAACAGATTTGTTTTAGGTTTATCCATTGTTCACGGTGGCTAAACATACAACCTCAGAAACACAGACCACACTAGCATAAGAAATAGAGCCTGGGAGCCATTAATTTATTAACACTGAAAAGCTTAGTTTACCTTTCACAAGGGAAAGATGAACATACGAACATAAAAGATAAGCTGTGGAGCCTTATCTACCTTCTTTACTCCTTTTCCTACAATTCTAAGTTAAATTTTGTATAAATTTCTACGCCAAGTAATCATTAAGCATGTACCCAAGCAAATTATCTGTCAGCAAAGGCAGTTTGCACTTCAACATAGGTTAATTTCTTGGGGGTGGGGAAATTCAAGAATTAAAAAGACAATGTTCCATACCTTTTTGATAGCAAAGCTTGGATCACGTGGCAGAACCAACACGATTTTCCCATCCCAAAACTCTGCTACTACACGTTCTTTCTTCCAACCCTGCCAAAGGAAAACAAAAGGGTCACAGTTAATTTGTGAAGAGAAAAAAAACCAACCTTAAATAATTTGGTGTGGAGAAGACTAAAGGCTAAACAATAACAGATATAAAAGAAGGAAAGATATAATCCATTAAAAGTAATGTGGAAAGAGAAATAAAAGATGCCTAAGACAAGGTACTTGTCCTCAGTAAGCTGACATCCTATCTGGAGACATGCATATGATCTATTATAAAATGAGGTAAAGGGGCTGGGTTCACGCCTGTAATCCCAGCACTTTGGGAGGCCAAGGTGGGCAGATCCACCTGAGGTCAGGAGGTCGAGACCAGCAGGCAGGTAGGGGAGGTTTCGAATAAGAAGCCAAATTTCAAGAAAAGGCTACATAAAAGTCCTTATATGCTTGTCCCTTATGCTTGACAAGACCACAGATGGGTTCAGTCTTACAACTACTTTAATCTCAATCCCAAGCAAGGTGTCTGGGCATGTGGCCCTAGTGTTTGAATGATTCTGAAGTATTATGGGACTTGAAAAGGGTTTAAAAACCTTGGTAAGATGTAAATGAGTATAATGGGAAGTCGATTACTTGCCTTCAGCCTAAGGCGACTAACTGAATAAGCACAAGTGCAGACCGTGGCAAAAAATCTGGTGTAATTGACTTAAAGATTGGAAGAAATGAGATTGGAATATTAGAAATAAATTTAACAAGATCCATGACAAAACTATAAAATTTTACTGAAGGGTATAAAAGATATGACTCAATCAGAGGCATACTAAGTTTCTAAGAATATACTAAGTTTATACTACAGTAAATACTAAGTTTATATTATAGTATGTACTATACTAAGTTTCTCAGGTATACTATTTTTCCCTAGAGAAAATGACAGTTTGACTACAGTTTCAATAAAAATTCTAATAAGTTTTTTATTGGGGGGGAGCTTGATAGGCTCATTTTTTTTATTTGAAAGAATAAATGTGCACAAGAAGTCAAGACTTTTTTTTACAGAAAAGGATGAAAGGGAACTTACCTAACTAGACATCCAAATACAGTATGAAGCTACATTTGTAAAAGCATGGCACTGGCACAGGAACAGATGGATGATGTGGAAGTGTCAATAACACACACAGATGAGAGAATCTGGTATGCTTTAAAGGTTGCATTGCTAATCAGTGTGGAACATGAACTAGTCAAACAGTACTGTTGGCATACTTTGCAGTCCTTTAGGAAAAAATAGAAAGATCCATCTCTCTAACACTGTGTCTTGAAAAATTTCCAATGGATTAAAGATCTAAATATAAAATTTATAGCTATAAAACTATTTTTTTAAATATAGGAGAAACTTTTTACTAATTTTGAAAATGAGATGATGTTCCTGACTTAAACCCAGAGTCACAAGTTAGCTAAATATTTTGTTTTCTTTGTAGCAATATACACCATAAAAAGGTTAAAAAAAAAATCCAAGTAATACTATTTGCTTGTATAGCCAGAAAATATCTCTGAAAGATATACAGATGAACTTGTTAATGACAGATACCTGTAGATAGGGGCTAATGGGGTTTCTGGCAGGGATATGAAGAAACACTTTACTGGATACACTTTTACATCCTGTAAATTTCGAAACATGTGGAAGTATTATTACACCAAAAACATAAATTTAAAACTTAAAAAAGGGACAGGGAGAATATATTTGTACCACAGGAATAATATACAAAATATATAAAGGATAACATGTTCAGTATGTTTCCACAAAGAAAGAAATCCAGCTGGGCACAACGGCTCATGCCTGTAATCTCGACATTTTGGGAGGCTGAGGTGGGCGGATCATGAGGTCAGGAGTTTGAGACCAGCTTGGCCAACATGGTGAAACCTGTCTCTACTAAAAATACAAAAATTAGCCGAATGTGGTAGCTCATGACTGTAATCTCAGCTACTAGGGAGGCTGAGGCATGAGAATTGCTTGAACCTGGGAGGCAGAGGCTGCAGTGAGCCGAGATAGCGCCACTGCACTCCAGCCTGGGCGATAAAGCAAGACTGCATCTCAAAAAAAAAAAAGGAAAATCCAATGCAGTATAGACAGTACTCTGGCTTCATCAGAGAATGTGGCTTACTCAAGCAGCAGGAACTTAGCACTGGAGAGGGAATGTGTCATATGACAAGGTGGGCAGGAGCCAGATATGAAGAGATCCGCTGGCCACAGGAGATCTGGGTTTTATTCTTAGTACAAAAGAAAGCTGTCCAAATTGAAGCAGATGTCAGAACTTACGTTTTACAAAGAATTTTCTGGCTGATGTAGTGATCAGATCAGAGAGGGCAAGAATTTAAATATACACATATACAATTTCTCTAGTATATATTTTATGTGCCCGTATGTAGGAAAGGTTGAGGCCGGATTAAACAGTACCAAACCGCTGGCGGGAACTTTTTCTTTCCAAAAGTAGAATCATACTAGATTTGTTTTAAAACATTATTTCTGGTAGCACTATGGGAACCTAGAAAGCAAGCTGTTTCAATAAACAGGCTAAAAATATTGTGAAGGTATTCATTAACTATGTGAATAAAAATAGGGAAAAAGAATCTGAGTAACATGTACAATCATAAAGATAGGGCCAATGATAGGATGTGTTTGGACTTGAAAGGTGTTTAAAAAATGGGTAGGAACTCTCCTCTCAGAAAAAACCTGGAGAAGTCATGGAAAGGCTATTTTCTAAAGCTATCTATAAAGAAGACACTATACTAGAAAATGAGATCTCTTTAGGTCTTTAAAGTTTGTATCTCTTGACTGCTCGGCTCTTCTCAGAATGCAAAGCTTACAAAATATTTATCTTATATTGAGATAGTAAGCTTGAAACATCATCACTAAAAAAGGTAACTCTTCTGGCTGGGTGGAAAAGAAATGTCTCTTTTAAAGTAGTTTTACTTCTAGAACAAACTGAAAGACTATCTTTTGGCTCACCACATATTTGATTCCTTCCAGAAATCTGTGGTGATGCTGTACATGTTGCATTTCATCTTCAGGGTTGGAAGCAGTATATATCATGCCACAAGACTTACACACAGTAGCCCCAAAATGTTTCTGACCAGCGTCCTAAAATTGGGGGGTAAAAAAATAAAAGCCCATTTAAATACAGCACAGGTAGCTCTAAATTAATTTCCTATAACCATTCATTCAAATTTCACCTTATTTTTTCTGCTGGCAGGTAAAAAACTAAATGAAAGTCTGGTTACTATATCCTCCTTCCCTCCTCCGGGACAAAATAAAATGAGAAGAGTTCAGGTCAGGTGTCCTGGCTCACGCCTGTTATCCCAGCACTCTGGGAGGCTGAGGTGGGTGAATCACTTGAGCCAAGGAGTTCAAGACCAGCCTGGGCAACATAGTGGAACTCCATCTCTTTGGGGAAGAAAAAAAAGAGAGAGAAGATACCTAAAAATGCAACAAATTGATGAGAGGCAATTGTTTATTGGAATGGACAGTGTTAAAGACCAGATTCTTTTATTTTTACAAGATTCTTTACTAGACCCATGGTTCTAAGAAGGAATAAGATTAAATCATAGCAAAAATGCAAAATGGAAGTTTTTAATGAAACAAAGACCTCAAAAAGCCTTATTTCTGTATTAATTATAATATTTTTCCTTAAGCAGCTAGGAATATTAAATTCTTTAATTCTTAAAGAATGTTAAAGTTATTTGACCCAAGAAATGACAAAAAATAAAGTTCAGGAAAAGCACAGGTAAATTCAAGAATATTCAATATCACCACCTACAATTCCCATGCTGTCCCATAAAACATTCCTTAATGCCACTGAAAATACCAAGTTCTGGGCCAGGTGTGGTGGCTCATGCTTGTAATCCCAGCACTTCTGGAGGCCAAGGAGGGTGGATCACAAGGTCAGGAGTTCAAGACCAGCCTGGCCAATATGGTGACATCCCGTCTCTACCAAAATTAGCTCAGTGTGGTGGCACGTGCCTATAGTTCCAGCTATTCAAGAGGATGAGGCAGGAGAATCACTTGAACCCGGGAGGCAGAAGTTAGTGAGACAAGATTGCATCACTGAACCCTGGCCTGGGCAACAGAATGAGACTTCATCTCAAAAACAAAAAAGAAAATACCGAGTTCTGAATTGTCTAATATAGGAGATGGCAAGTTTTTTCTGTGAAGGGCTAGATAGGAGAAGCTTTGTTTTGACTTTACTCACAATGATGAGCTGGTCTTTTGTTTTTTTACTTATATCTCTGGTGTTAGCATTTTTCTGAATATTGGTCTGTTTCAAGAAATTGACAGATCCCACAGAAGACTGTTCTTCACCTAAAGATCTTGACACAGAAAATTGAAAAATATCATATAAATTTACAATGTTTGCGGAATTACAAGCGAAAGAAAGATGACATTTGACAGACTACCTTGTAATTTTTAGTGCTATCTGACATTAATTTGATGAGATAATAGGGACAGGAACAACAAGAAACCTGAGGCCCACTCAGAGAGGGTCACTAATTTACTCAAGGTAAAGTAACTAGTGAATGGCAGTGTTAATACTCAAATCCTGGTCTTCTGACTCCAAGTCCTAGGGATTTTCTTCTATAGTATCAGATGCACACAGATGTACATTTTGGAAATTGACTTTTAGAAAAAATTTTTGGTTTTTTTTTTTTTTTTTGCTTTTATCAAATCTTAGTACCATACCTATACAGCTATAAAGAAATTCCTGAGCTACTAGAGGAAATAAGTATAATATTGAACTTCACAGATCCACAGGCAATCAGTCACCATATTATAATCTAGCCAACATTTTAACCAGAGCAAAGCAGCTATTAAATTTGCCTTTCCTCACACCAAAAGCAGCATCTCACAACTTTGAAATTCTTAAAGGAAAAAAATCATGTTTAGGCTGGATAGAGGTAATCGAGACAACCTTTAACTATCAGGAAAGAATGTTGAGATTCATTTATAGAGGTTGCAAACTGGAGCCCCTCAGGCCAAATCTAGTTAGCAGACATGTTTTGGTTGGCCCATATGGTATTTAAAACTTTGGGTTAGGCTGGGCTCGGTGGCTCACGCCTGTAAACCGAGCATTTTGGGAGGCCGAGGTGGGTGGATCACTAGGTCAAGAGATCGAGACCATCCTGGTCAACATGGTGAAACCCCGTCTCTACTAAAAACACAAAAAATCAGCTGGGCATGGTGATGCGTGCCTGTAATCCCAGCTACTCAGGAGGCTGAGGCAGGAGAATTGCCTGAACCCAGGAGGTGGAGGTTGTGGTGAGCCGAGATCGCGCTATTGCAGTCCAGCCTGGGTAACAAGAGCGAAACTCCGTCTCAAAAAAACAAAACAAAACAAACAAACAAAAACTTTGGGTTAGCTACCAATATTTTATAATCTAGAGATTTCACTTAAAAATGTGTATTTCCAATATTAAGAGAGACACTGAGGGGTGGGCACAACGGCTCACACCTGTAATCCCAGCACTTTGGGAGGCTAAGATGGGTGGATCACAAGGTCAAGAGAGCGAGACCATCTTGGCCAACATGGTAAAACCCAAAATCTACTAAAAATACAAAACTTAGCCGGGCATGGTGGCATGCACCTGTAGTCCCAGCTACTTGGGAGGCTGAGGCAGGAAAATCTCTTGAACCTGGGAGGTGAAGGTCACAGTGAGCCATGATCGTGCCACTGTACTTCTGCCTGGTGACAGAGCAAGACTCTGTCTCAAAAAAAAATAATAATGATAAAAATAAAATAGACACTGTAAGATCACTAAATCTCTATTCCATCAATAAATCTGCTAGTCAGAACTTGGAATAGCACATGCCCTTTTAAGTGGGTAATTCTTCAGCTGGCCCTAGTTTTCACCCAACCTGCTGGTTCTGTAGATACTGAGTTTGTAACCCTTGCCTTGTAATGAAAAGCCCTTGGTTTTCCAGGGACCGAAGGCGTAGAAATCCCTAGAAAGTAGAAGCAATTAGACAAGAGAAAAAAAAACCCTAGGGCCCAAAGTAAAAAGTTCAAACAGAAAAAAACACCTGACAAAATAAAGTGGGGGAAAAAAAAATAAAGTGGAGCATTAGCTTTTAAGCTAAGTCAAGCTGCCTTATTACCATTTGTCTAAAAAGTAGTTTTCAAACTGACTTGACAAATCTATGCTAAGAAATACATTTCAGTTATGACTAGTACAGATATAAAACCAAAGTTTTACTAAATATACTTATGTGAGAGATACACTATTCCATTAAAAATAAATGCTAGATATGACATCCTAAACTGATCTGAGAAACTACTAAAGGGCTGCTACCTGCACTATGAAAAACACTTGTCCAAGTCACTGACCCTTTTCACCTTATGCAGCCTTTGCTAAGTAACTCAGCTCTCCCTGACCCTGCATATGTGACAGCCATCTCTTTGCTTCCATTTTAGCAACTGTAATATTATACTATACTTGTTTAAATGTCTACCCTCCTCTAACCATAACTTCCTTGATAGCAAGACCACATTAACTATCTTCACATTTCTAGGGCTCAGTATAGTTCAAAAGCACATGATAAATACTGTCTAAATGTTCATTGAATGAATTTTAAAAAAACCAAAAAACAAATGTGAGACTAAACACTTTGAGAATCTGTAATCTACCTGAATAGATTAAATTTCAAGAAACTGCTGATACCTGATGTTTTTGAGTCTACAAAAAGAGCAATTTCATTTTATTTAACAAATAGCATCCCACTGTCTTTTGAGATGGATTCATGCTCAGTCGCCCAGACTGGAGTACAGTGGCACAATCCTGGCTCACTGCAACCAGGATTAGGAAAAGCTGCCCACCCAACCTAATCACTGAGGCAATTTAAGGTGATGTTCTCTGAGTAACGCAATATAGCCAGGAAGTTCCTTCCTTGCTTAATGTCTGAAGTTATTTATAAGCAAATGGTGAGAGAAAGATCAAAGCTAATTAGGAAGAGGATGTTTAGACTCTAAGAAACTACTTTTTCAGAGTGTTGACGCCTCTCATGCTCTCTACCCATCCATGCCTCCCCCATCACAGTCTTTAGCTTTGAATAGGATACTGGTAGCTTCAGCTATACCTTAAGGTAATGTTAAGCTACCGCAAGTTACTTACTCCTGCAGCCAGACCCCTCAGCTACAAAATGAGGTAATGGTGCCTACATCATCAAGTTGTAAATGCTTATTAACTTTTAGCTATGATTAGTATACTGTCACCCAAGGAAGGCAATATAACCTAATGGACATTTGGTTCAGATACAGATTCTAGTCCCGGTCCTAGCCCCTAAGAGCTGTGCAACTGTGGCTCAATTACTAACAGTTTCTTAGGCTGAAAATAGAATAACAGTATCTACCTTCTAAGTTGTTGTGATAATTGAGATAATAGATATAAAAACTACTTATTTTGGGTCAGGTATCATACAATAATGTTAGCAATGATCATTACTCAAGCCTAAGAGGAAGTTTTCCATCTCAAGTTTTTATGATGTCTCTATGAGGGACTGATTTCATTGCTCTATTCTCCTTTTCCCCTTAGTGTGGAAGAAAGAAAACTTCCCCAAATCAAGTAGCATGAGACTAAAAACGAGACCCAAAGGACCTATGATTTATAAGGCTTAGACTTTAAAACAATAACAATTTCTCACCTTTTTGAATTGCCTGAAGATGCACTGAAGATTGGATAGACAGTGGACTTAGGAGAAACTGGTAGGGAAAAAATTGTGATAATGTGTATTACTAAATAAAATCAAAGCTTTGATTCATAAGGTTTCAAAGGTTAATAAGACAAAATACTACTCAAAATCAAGACTTAACAAAGAGGCAAAGGTAATTCCATGGAGAGAAAACAGTCAACAAATGGTGCTGGACCATTTAAATGGACCAATTAAACGTCCATATGCAAAAAAAAAAAAAAAAAAAAAAAATTACACCTATTCAAATCTTATGTAAAATTAACTCAAAATGGATCACAGATCTAAATGTAAAACTATGACCAGGCTTGGTGGCTCATGCCTGTAATCCCAACACTTTAGGAGGCTAAAAGTGGGCAGATAGCCTAAGGTCAGGAATTAAAGACCAGCCTGGGCAACTCAGTAAGACCGTGTCTCTACAAACAAATTAATAATAATAAAGTAAAAACATAAAACTATAAAATTCTAAAAAAAAATAGGAAAAAAATCATTATGAACTTGGAATTTGGTGATAAGTTTTTACATACAACACCAAAACCACAATACAGTTTTTAAAAATTTTGACTTTATCAAAGTTAGATATTTTTCTCTACAAAACAAAAAAATTAAGAGAATGAAAAGACAAGCCGCAGACTGAGGAGAGAAAATATCTGCAATCACACATGTGATCAAGAACTTATGTCCAGAATATATAAAGAAATTTTAGGGTATATTGATAGTTCAGTGATAAATGAGAATTACTACTGATACACCTAACAACATAGATGAACCTTAAATGTATTACTAAGTAAAATGAGCCAGACCCCAAAGGATCTATATGTGTAATGCTTTTCTGGAAAAGGTAAAACTATAGAAAGAGAAAGCAGATTAATGGCTGCCAGGGGGTTTGGGGAAAGAGTAATTAACAACGAAGTATAGGCGTAGGGAAATTTTAGGGTGAAGGAACTGTTCTGTATGGTACTGTAATGACTAATACATAACTCTACACATTTGATAAAACCCACAGAACTGTAAAAATCACAAAGAATGAACTTCATTTCTTGATTTTTGCTGAAAAAAAAAATGAACTTCAACGTACATCAAATGAGAAAAAAATATGCATAAATATCAACCAGGCTATTGAGGCATCCTAAGATGGAATGCAGACAGTGAGAAATGAATCTAACTATATTAGAACTATATAGCATAACAACACTGAAGAAAATAGTGGGAAAAAGAGAAGCTGTCCTAAGTAACTTTTGCAAACGGTCTTTTGAATAGAAGTAAGCATAAAGACAAAGACTGCACTTAAAATTGCACTCTAGGCCAGACATGGTAGCTCAAGCCTGTAATCCTAGAACTTTGGGAGGCAGAGGCAGGCGGCTCACCTGAGGTCAGGAGTTTGAGACCAGCCTGGCCAACATGGCAAAACCCCATCTCTACTAAAAATACAAAAAAATTAGCCAGACATGGTGGCAGGCACCTGTAATACCAGCTACTTGGGAGGCTGAGGTAGGAGAATTGCTAGAACCCTGGGGGCGGAGGCTACAGTGAGCCAAGGTCACGCCACTGCAGTCCAGCTTGGGTGGACAGAGGGACTCTGTCTCCAAAAAAAAAAAAAAAAAAAAAAAAAAAAGCACTCTCATTGGTTTATTTCTTATGTGGGTATGAATAAACAATTATGAAACTGTTCTACATGTTTACTGGGACAGAACAAATAAGTAGGTGGATAGTGAATGGTTGGAACTAAGTTTCTCATCGTCTGAGAGGGAAGTTACAGATGAAAAAAGGATAGGACAGGCTGGGCATGGTGGCTCACACCTGTAATAACAGCACTTTGGGAGGCCAAGGCGGGTGGATCACGAGGTCAGGAGATCAAGACCATCCTGGCCAACATGGTGAAACCCTGTCTCTACTAAAAAACACAAAAAAATTAGCTGGATGTGGTGGCACATGCCTGTAGTCCCAGCTACTTGGGAGGCTGAGGCAGGGGAATTGCTTGAACCTGGCAGTGGAGGTTGCAGTGAGTCAAGATCGTGCCACTGCACTCAAAAAAAAAAAAAAAAGAAAAGAAAAAAAAGGCTAGAATAAACCCTGGAGTGCAGGATTAGTGTTTGAGATATGCAAACAAAGAAACAAGGAAAAGACAGAAAATGTCACAGACTAGAGAAGGCAAAAGACACATAACAATTAAATGTAATATAGTACCATGGATTGGATACTGAAACAAAAAGAAAACGTTAATAAAGTTTAGTTAACAGCAATATACCACTATCAATATTTGGTGAACTCCAAAAAAAGTCTAGTATTTATGGCCGGGCACAGTGGCTCACAATGGTAAATCCAGCACTCTGGGAGGCTGAGACAGGTTGGTCACTTGAGGTCAGGAGTTTTGAGACCAGTCTGGCCAACATAGTGAAATCCTACTTTGGCAAAAATACAAAAAGTAGCCAGGTGTGGTGGCAGACACCTGTAATCCCAGCTACTCGAGGCGGGGCTGAGGCGGGAGAAATGCTTGAAACAGGGAGGCGCAGGCTGCAGTGCGTTGTGATCGTGCCATTGTACTCCAGCCTGGGCAACACAAGGAAACTTCACCTATACCAATACCAGTTTCTTATTTTGACAAAAGTATTACGGAAACATAAGATGTTAAGAATGGAGAAAACAGGGTAAGAGATACACTGCTATTCTCCGTACTTTAACTTTTCTGTAAATCTAGAATTACAGCAAAATAAACAGGCTATTAAAAGACCAAAGTTAAAACAGCAATTTGAGGAAAATAGTAAGTTGAGAGTGGGCTAAAAAAACAAACTTCAACTTCGCATTGGAAAATAATTAGAGCTCATCTTGTAGAAACAAGACTAAGGCAGGTGATACTCTGAAGTGCTGTGGGTAAGTTGTTTAATGCAAGTCCATTTCCTCATCTATAAATGGGCATATCAGAACCTAAAGTAGTTGAGATAATTAAATGATGAATTGTAGTTATCAATAAAATTTTGGTCGTTTTTATGTTACTTTCATTTCTGCCATATCCTTATATCATTTGTTATTTTTATTCACAATTTTTCTTTATATTTACTTCAACAAGGTACTGAGGTTTATTTTAAAAGAAAAATTGGTGAGATAGGATCCAAGATGGCCGATCGCTAACATCCCGGGACTGCAGCTCTCAGGGAAGGCGCGGAGAACTAGAGGACGCCACACTTTCAGACAAAGTCTGGTCGCTCACGGAGCAGAAGATCCCCCAGTGGTGGAAACACACGGGTCGCCAGCGCGACTCTCGTGGTCGGCGCAGCGGTTCCGCCGGCACCTCGGCGGGGCAGCTCTCGGAGCAGAGTAAACGGGACCGCTTCCCCTTCTGACCGAGGTTTGGAGCCCCGGGAAGGCAGAGTCGCCTACTACGGAAACAAGAAGGAAGCCCGACAGGAGAATCCTGGGCAGAAAAGCACCATCAGTTTTAACGCCGCTGCTCTGGCCCTGGGAACTAACAACCTGGACGTCCACTCAAGAGACCTAATCTGAAAGTTGGTAATTTCAAAGACGAGAGGAGGATAAATTTACAATGACGGGAAGAAACCAGCGTAAAAAAGCTGAGAATACTCAAAGTCAGAACGCCTCTCCCTCTAAAGATGATCACAGTTCCACATCAACAATGGAACAAGGCTTGATGGAGAACGAGCGCCTCCTAATGACAGAATCACTCTTCAAGGAATGGATAATAACAAACTTCGGTGAGTTAAAAGACCATGTTGTAGCCCAACGTAAAGAAACTAGGAACTTTGACAAAAGGCTTGATGAAATCCTGTTGAGAATAGACAACTTAGAGCGGAGTATGAGTGAATTAATGGAACTGAAGAATACAATACAGGAACTCCGAGAAGTATGCACAGGTTTAAACACTCGAATTGTTCAAGCAGAATAAGGGATATCAGAGGTCAAAGTCCAACTTAATGAAATAAAACGTGAAGAAAAGATTAGAGAAAAAAGGATAAAAAGGAATGAGCAAAGTCTCCAAGAAATGTGGGACTATGTGAAAAGACCAAATTTACGTTTGATAGGTGTACCTGAAAGCGACGGAGAGAATGAATCCAAGCTGGAAAATACCCTTCAGGATATTATTCAGGAAAATTTTCCTAAACTAGCAAAGCAGGTCAACATTCAACCACAGGTAATACAGAGAACACCACAAAGATATTCCTCAAGAAGAGCAACCCCAAGGCACATAATCGTTAGATTCACCAGGGTTGAAACGAAGGAGAGGATACTAAGGGCAGCCAGAGAGAAAGGTCGGATAACCCACAAAGGCAAGCCTATCAGACTTACAGCAGATCTCTCGGCAGAAACTCTACAGGCCAGAAGAGAGTGGGGGCCAATATTCAACATCCTCAAAGAACAGAACCTTCAGCCCAGAATTTCATATCCAGCCAAACTAAGCTTCACAACTGAAGGAAAAATAAAATCTTTTATGAACAAGCAAGAACTCAGAGATTTTATTACCACCAGGCCTGCTTTACAAGAGCTTCTGAAAGAAGCATTACACACAGAAAGAAACAACCAGTATTAGCCTTTCTAAAAATACACCAAAAAGTAAAGAGCACCAACATAAAGAAGAATTTACACCAACACATGGATAAAACAGCCAGTCAACATCAAATGGCAGTAACCCTAAATTTAAATTGACTAAATTCCCAATCAAAAGACACAGCCAAAACCCAACGGCATGTTACATCCAGACCTGTTTTACATGCAAGGATACACAAAGACTCAAAACAAAGGGATGGAGAAAGATTTACCAACCAAATGGAGAGCAAAAATAAATAATAAATAAATAAAAAGCAGGAGTTGCAATTCTTGTATTGGATAAAATAGATTTTAAAGCAACAAAGATATAGTGGTAAAAGGATCAATGCAAGAACAAGAGCTAACGATCCTAACACCCAGATAGGAGACTTAGATTCAATGAGACAGAAAATTAATAAGGATATCAAGGACTCGAACTCAGATCCAGAACAAGTAAACTTAATAAATATTTATAGAGCTCTCCACTTCAAATACACAAAATATACATTCTTGTCAATACCACATCACACCTACCCATTAGTTTAAATGAAACATTGATTGGCCATTATTAATACCCAATTTTTTTCAAAATAAAGCAATATTTCCATTTACTCTCCCTCTTTCTCTTCCTCTTTCTTCCTCTCCTTTACTTATTTTTTTTTTTTTTTTTTTTCTTTCCTTCTCTCAAAAAAAAAGAAATCAACTTGTAAACCTCTAGATCCAGGTCGGCAATGTCTCTTTCATTGCTTGATTTCCTTTCTTCCCTTCCCTCCCTCCCTCCCTCCCTCCCCGCTTCCTCCCTTCCTTCCTTCCTCCCTACCGTCCTTCTTCCCTTCCTTCCTGCCTTCCTCCCCCCCCCAAAAAAAAAATTAAAAAAAAAAAAAAGAAAAATTGGTAACTAGTGTTAAGTAGATACCACAGTTTTTCTGTTACAGGTTCTATTTTATCAGTTGTTTGAGTACAAGCTATGAAAACCTAACGCATACTACTAAGCAGTGCCTGATATATACATTCAGCCCTCAGTAAATACTAGTTATTAACATCACATCTCAGAATCATAGAAAAAATTAGTCATGATTATCAGAACAGGAATCTCCAAGGATAAAAAAAGAGAATCATGGTGAATACATATCATTAGATCCTCTAAGTATTACTGTTTCAGATGATCTTTTAACTTTTTATTTTCTTTCTATGAGCTACAGCTTCTCACTAGTCAGCAGGTCTAGTCCAAGAATTTTAATTTATTTCCAAATTTGTAGACATAGCCAATGAGTTGCCATTATTAAGAATCTGGTTGGTAAGTAAAATGGTAGTGAACCACTTTATGTATTCGAATTTAGTAAGCTGTTTAATTGACATTGACAGCATAAATTAGGAATAGGATTTCAGAACTGACAGGAATTTAAAAATTACCTCTTAACTCCTTAGAGATCTCTTCCTAGATCATACAGCTAATTAGTAGTAAGCCTAGACAAAAATCTGGTTTCTGATGCTTAATTTATGACTTAGGAAGTTCTGCTAACAATTGGGCTTTGATCAAAAATGTACATAATAGTTTTAACTCCTATTATTTTGGGTGACGAAGTAGGTATGATTTTACAATGAGAACACTCAACTCTAGAGAGCTTCAGTAATTTGGCCACAGCCATAGACCAATTAAGCCTAATATTTTGTCTAAAATTTTAATCTAGGATCTCCTTGTTTTCTGCTTTTCAAAACACAATGCACTGCTTTACTACAGAAAACAGTGTCATAGAGATAAACACAAAGATACTAATGACAGGCACAGTACTGAAAAAAGAAAAAGACCCAGAAAATATTTTAGATTTATACATTAATTATATGTTTTAATTTATACATTATTGTATAACATATGTTATACATATGTTATATATATGTATAACATATATGTATAATATGTATGTATATGCATGTATAACATATGTGTATTAACATATGTATACATGTAACGCATGTATAACATTATTGTATAACAATAAGCATTATTTTAAGTAGCTAAATTCAAGCAAGTTTCCTCTTACCTGTCTTCTTACCAAGAGAATCCTCTGAAGGAAAAGACTTATTTTTATCAACTTCATATTCCTTTGAAGAAACTCTGTCACCTGATGAGTCCTGAAAGAGGAAAAAAAAAGTAAACAAATCTGTAATTTTAACTGTTTTCTAGTGATTAAATCCCAGCAGATCTGTTTCTAAAACAAAATATTTGGTTTATTATAAATAACATTTCATAATGTGATTTTAAATCAATTTTCAAATGATTTTTACAAAAATTTCCCCTGTATTCACTAAGTGTACATCACCTTTTAAAAGTGAGAGTAAAAATACTGTAATCTGTCATCCTCTCAAAAATGTATACTTCCTGATAAAGATGGTAGAATGATTATAGACCAACACTTCCATAATGAAATGAACAAAAAACATTAGTAAAAATGGCAAAAATTTCCCCAGCAGCCACCAAACTGGAAAGGGACCACTTTTTTGCCATAAACTCTAAAAATGAGCAGTTAAGGAAAGAATAACTTTCTGGAGTCACTAGAGAGTAGCAGGAATGTGGGAAAGGCAAAGTAAAAAATCTTGACAGATTTCCCTCATACCAATTTGGGAATTACTAGGGAATATACAGTGTGGGGAAAAAGGAAAAACTCTTGGTTAAAGCAGAACTTCTACTCCAGAGTACTACACCATCAGAGGTGGGATAACCCATCCGTTTAACACTTTTCAGGGCTCCACGGGCTGAGGAAAGGGTATCCTCATAAAAATCAGATTCACCTTTAGCCAGCAAAGATGAAACCTAGACATGGTTACTTTGCAAAATCCTGAAAGCATAGCCCAGTTCTACAAATTTAAGATGCACAAAAGCCTAGCTTCCCATATTACTGAAAACTAACTCAATACCAATCCCGTGAAGTGAAACTAAGAAAATGAAGACAGAAAAGGGTGTTACAGAGAATTCATCAGGTCACCATATTAAGGCTATACTAAATATTAAGAATAATCATCAGGAGCTGCATGGGGAAACTACAGACTCCTTTGTTTTGCTGGATTGAGACAATGTTAGCTTGAGTTATGCTCCAAACTTTCAAAAAACCTTAATTTTCTTTTCTTTTTTTTTTTTTTTTTTGAGACGGAGTTTTGCTCGTTACCCAGGCTGGAGTGCAACGGCGCGATCTCGGCTCACCGCAACCTCCGCCTCCTGGGTTCAGGCAATTCTCCTGCCTCAGCCTCCAGAGGAGCTGGGACCACAGGCACGCGCCACAATGCCCAGCTAATTTTTTGCATTCCTAGGTAGAGACAGGGTTTCACCATGTTGACCTGGATGGTCTCGATCTCTTGACCTCGTAATCCATCCGCCTCGGCCTCCCAAAGTGCTGGGATTGCAGGCGTGAGCCACCGCGCCTGGCCTAAAACCTTAATTTTCATATAGTCAAATGTACAGGTATAAAGCATAGTTTAATAAATTTTGATAAACCTTACTTTTGTAATCAAAATCCCTTATCAAGACACAGAAGTAATTTGATATAAACAAAAAATTAGTAAAATTAGACTGTCATGGCTCAGCCAGCAAGAACATACCTCATTTAATATACTTGGCCATACTTGATAAACAGAAAAAAAATAAACAAAAAACATAGTGAGAACTAAAAACAAATGCCTTACAAGGGCAGCAGGTAAGCAAAATTATCAAAACTAAACTGATCTAAATACATATATACATACACTGACTTAGTGAGAGAAATGAAGAGTCCATATTTGTCAAATGGCATGATAGTCTGATATTCAGCTGATTGTTGCCAGGTAGAAATGAAGGCTCAGCTTTCAATATTTCATGAGACACCAGAAATGTTTTTCTTGTATTTAAAGAAAATTTTGGCTCTGATTTTTAAATTATATAAGCCTAACAAAACATTTATGGGCGAGATTTGGTTTCCTAGTCACCAGTTTATAATCTTTGCCACTGAGGTTTGAAATTTAGGTGATTACCAGAGGTATGAACTGGGGTTGAATATGAGAAAAGCTAGTGAGGAGGACAATGATCAAAGTGGGTTAGGAAAGAAATGACTAAAGCCTATCATTTCTCCAGCTACAAGGGTCGTGATAAATACAAACAAGCCACTATAGACATGCAAGCTCTGACTTGGGAGACCTTTCTTAAGGTTGCTTCAGTGGCTTTCTGCCCCTAGCTGCCCCACAAAACCCAACTTTTTTTTTTTGATGAAGGTTATACAGTAGATCAGCAACGGAAGTTCCAGACTAGCATGGTCTAATACGGTAGCCACCAGCTGCATATACCTACTGGGAACTTAAAATGCAGCTGGGATAGGTGCCGTGGCTCACATCATAATCCCAGCAATTTGGGAGGGTGAGGCAGGTGAATTACTACATCCTAGTAGTTTCAGATCATCCTGACCAATACGGTGAAACCCCAGTCTCTACAAAAAAATACAAGAATTAGCCAGGCGAGGTAGTGTGTACCTATAGTACCAGCTGCTTGGGAGGCAGAGGTAGAAGGACCCCTTGAGCCCAGAAGGTTAAAGCTGTAGTGAGCAGGGTTTGTGCCTGGGTCACAAAGACCGACCCTGTCTCAATAAAAAAGAAAATAAATAAATGAATAAACTACCCACAATAACTAAACACTATGCTATCTGGCTTTATAAAAGCAGTTCAGAAAAATTGTATTCAACTATGACATTTTTAAAACATTTTAATATTTGTTATATAACCATTTTTAAAACAAGGTATTTATCTTTACCTTTATTAATTTCTCTTGATTTTTACTGCTTGCATTCAGTAGTTCAATGTTCAATTTCTCTTCTACGAATAAGCACTTTGGCACTTGCCTTGTCTTAAGTGTTTTTTTTTCACTGACAGTCTCTACATCAGAATCTTCAATCAATTCTGATTTATTCTTTTGGGTGAGTCCCAGTGATGGCTCATTTTCCATGGACCATTTTCTAAGAGAGGATTTTTTTCTACTAACAAAAAATGCTGCTCCACCCTGGAGTGTAACTTGTGGTTTTATTTTTTGGCTTAGAACTCGAGGAGCACTGGGATTATTTTCAGCTGAATAACAATTATTCTCTTTCTCCACAACTGGCTTACAGACCACTCGATTTTGCTTGGAATTTTTAGAATTCTTTGATACAGGCTTGATGTGTCTATACCTTTGTTGATACTTAGCAGTTAAACTCTTCTGTGGCTTTTTGTTGTTCTTCTTGGGGCAGACTGGTTTTCCCTGCATTTTTTCTGTCATGATGGGAAAAGATTTATCTTCAACATTATTTTTTAGGTAAGTAGCTTTACTCTCTTTTATCAGCTTCCTCTCCAATGGATTGAGGTACCGCTTATTTTGGTTGTAAAAAGATACAGTGGACACAGCAGATTTAAATGGTGAGCCTTGATTTGCTGATGGCAGTCTATTTATTTCAGATGTTTTGAGTGCACTTAAAGCAAAACCCCCTTGTTGAAAGGAATGCAGGTTTTCTTCATTTTTATCACTGTTTTGATAAAAACAGTGCTTTTTATTAGGTGATGGAAACAGATTTTCAGTGAAGAGCAAAAGGCTATAAAAAGAAAGTCCATTGATTATTTTGCATCAAAATTTACTACTAAGTAATAAACGATACTTACAGATCATATTAAAGACAACACATGACCCCCCCAACATACATATGATTTTCTGTTTCACAGAATTCTCAAATTCTATCAAGTAAAACATTCAAATATCTTCCCAAAGAGCCCAATAACGTTCATGAAAACAAATACCACATACAAAGAAGCTTTGATAGACATATATGCACATGTGTTTTAATTTTTTTAAGAGGAAGTCTCACTCCAACACTCACGCTGGAGTGCAGTGGTGTGGTCTCGGCTCACTGCAACCTCTGCCTCCCCAGGTTCAAGCGATTCTCTCGCCCTCAGCCTCCCAAGGAGCTGGGACCACAGGCACATGATACCACACCCGGTTAATGTTTGTATTTTTAGTAGAGACGGGATTTCACTATGTAGTCCAGGCTGGTCTCAAATTCCTGACCTCGTGATCCACCCACCTTGGCCTCCCAAAGTGTTGGGATTACAGGTGTGAGGCACCGCGCCTAGCTGCGTGTTTCAAAATCTATTTCTCTGTTAGTCATATATAAATTATAGCTCATATATTTTGCACTATTAGCCACACGTCCCCTACAATAATTGTCTGTAATAAACTGACCTCTTGGGGTTTTTCCTGGGTAGAGTAATATCTGAGTGCAGACTCTAGAATTGTTTACAGACAAGCATGTACTGTATACAAAACACTGTACACTATTATAGCGGAATAAAAAGGAACAAGGTAATAACCGATCTGGTATACTTCCTAGCCATAGAAAATAGCTTTCTTCTGTCAAAAATGTGCCGCTTCTGTCAAAAGAAAAAACTTTTATTCCCTTGAAAAGGACTAATTCATTATGAAACTTAATGTATTTCCAAACTAGAATTCGAATATAGGTTATCACTGTAGCCACAAGAGGTAAGCTAGCGGAAGAACGAAAATTTTAGAAAATACAAAGAACGAGAGAGACAAAGTGGATTTTCTTTAAGAATTTCTATTCATAGGCTGAGATTCATTCACCTGTCACAGTTCAAAAAATCTTGCTTCCTCTTCCTTGGAGTAAGAGCTGCCATCTTCTTTATTGAATTCCTAAAAGAAGTAACAATTTTAACAACCAAATTCATCAAAGCATTAAACATCGCTTTATCAAAATTACACTTTGAAAGTCTGAAAAATTTCCAGATGGGTGATGGTCTATACAGATCCAGGAAAAGTGTTTTTTTAAAAAAGCAACTTTCTCTAATAAAAATTTAAACCATGTTTTAAGAAGGGGGAGAGAAAACACTGGGCAAATAACAGAAAATAAAAGTAGGGATCACATCTATGTTTCAAGCTGGAAAATCATCCCAGCATGGAGGAAATAGTGCCCTTTCAGGGCGGGCTTTCCCCTTTAATGAGTCTCATTGACGCCAAGTGAACCGACGCCGCTCTCCTCACCCCTCCCGGGTTGCACGCGCTTGTTCTCTGCCTCCAAGGCACCCTGTTTCCCTAATAGTCCCCTTAAGACATTTTCTTCTTGTTTCCCCATCTCCACAGCCTGTGCGTTCGATGAAGGCAGAGACCATTTGTAACTTTTCATCAGAGCCCACCAAGAAAAGCTCTCCATTGTCCTAGCTGAGGAGCCGGGAGCAAGCCGTCTGCTTGCCTTTTTATAAAAACCTCTTCAGGTGGCTCACGCCTGTAATCCCAGCGCTTTGGGAGGCCGAGGCGGGTGGATCACGAGGTCAAGAGATCGAGACCAACCTGGTCAACATGGTGAAACCCCGTCTCTACTAAAAATACAAAAAATTAGCTGGGCATGGTGGTGCGTGCCTGTAATCCCAGCTACTCGGGAGGCTGAGGCAGGAGAATTGCCTGAACCCAGGAGGCGGAGGTTGCGGTGAGCCGAGATCGCGCCATTGCACTCCAGCCTGGGGAACAAGAGCGAAACTCCGTCTCAAAACAAACAAACAAACAAAAAAACCTCTTCACGTCACGGGCTGCTGAAAACAAATGCAAGACTGCACGAGCAGGCGGCTGTGCGGCTCGTCGGAGCTGATTCCTTCCCCCTCCCTGGGATCAGGGAAACTCCCCCGAGAGCGGCACACAAGCCTTATGTCAAAGCTATTAGGAACACGCGGAAAGGCCAGGGCTGAGGGAATTCAGGTCGAGCTGCGGCTTAAGCGAGACCCTTCTGGGGCTAAGCGAGGAAAGGTAGGAGAGGAAAGCGTCGCGACCCCGAACCCTGTCAGGGCAAAAACAACAGCAAACCGGAAACAAGGAAACGCCGGCGCTGGAAGAGGGAACAGCGGCGCCAGTGAGCGCGGAGAACGCGTCAGTGGCTTCTTCGCTCTTGGGCCCGCGGACCTGCCGAGCGCAGAGCAAAAGCTCTTTTCCCTTGAGATTCGCCCCCACGTTCCACAAGGTCTCCCGCCCGCCTCAGCCTTCCACAGCCTCGCCTCGGCCTACTCCAGAAACATCACCCGTACCTCAGAGGCGAGCGAGCTCTCCTCAACAGATCCAGCCGCTCTGTGAGCGTCTTCAAATTATCGCGCGCCAGGCTAGGCGGAAGCCGCTGCGTTCCGATTGGCCACAGCTCAGCGCTTCCAGGGGCTGGCTCGATGATTGGTAGAGCACCAGCTCTTACCCCGCCCAGCCTGGTGGCTGTCTCCAAGATTCTCGCGCCTTGGGGAGGTGAAAAGTTCTGAGGGAAACCACGCCTCCCACAATCCCCCGCAACAACGCCGGGCTCCGTTCCCGGGGCCTTGTTTTAGGTGCATTCTGGGAATTGTAGTTCTCGGCCCCTTTGAAGTCGAGGTAGTTCTGGGATCACTTGGGCTAAGAAGTTTTTGTAAAAATGGCCTCTCCCAGGAGAATTGCCTGAACCCAGGAGGTGGAGGTTGCGGTGAGCCGAGATCGCGCCATTGCACTCCAGCCTGGGTAACATGAGAGAAACTCCGCCTCAAAAAAAAAAAAAAATGGCCTCTCCAAGATTCTTGATGCACTTACTTTTCACATTTGAAGCTTGATTGCTAGTTTCAGTTTTTTTAATTAGTTAACTTCAGGTTTCTATTCACTATTTTATTTTTCAAATTAAAATACAAATCAACACCTGCTGTGTGCCAGGCATTCTTGGATGCTTCACCTATTTTGTTTCATTTACTCCTCACCACAATCTATAAGGTATTAATATCCATTGACATTACCATTTTTACAAATAATACAACTGAGAGCCTCAAAACAATTACTGTTTATAGAACAGAGCTAAATTCTTACTTTGGAAAACCAGAAAGTTCCCAAAACAGTTATTGTTAGCTGTTGTTATTTGTGTCACCAGCCCTTGGTACAGTGTCTCTGGTATATTTTTAGTTTCAAATAAATTTAAGCTTTTATTTTTTCAAATTTAATTTTCACAAATTTGCATGTAGCAGGGGCCATGTCAATGTTCTCTGTATTATTCCAATTTTAGTATATGTGCTGTCGAAGCGAGTACCTAAATAAATTTCGTTAAGTGATGCAATTTCATAGAATTCAATTTCATAGAATGAAGTCAGTGACAGTGATGTGTCAGTTTAAAAGGAAAAGGCTGAGGCAAAAATGTAGAGTTTGCCTGAGTTAAAGTGGGGACAACTGCCCAGAAGGTTTCCACCCCTCCCCGCCTCAGATAAGAGATCTGTCCCGGCCAGGCGCGGTGGCTTATGCCTGTAATCCCAGCACTTTGGGAGGCGGAGGTCGGCGGATCACCTGACGTTTGGAGTTCCAGACCAGCCCGGCCAACATGGAGAAACCACATCTCTTTAAAAAAAAAAAAAAAAAAAAGAGCCCTGTCCGGCCTTTGCTACAAGCAGGTTTTTAAAGACGAAAAGGGGACAGGAAGTGAAGCTGATACAAAACTGTCGAGTATTCTCATTGATTTATAGGAACTACATGGATCAGTGCTTGGAGAGACATTGTTAAGCTATAGGGTGTGGGTCACAGTGTCTTGTGTGGCACTGTTTAGCAGATAGCTACTTGTGGCAAAAGCAAGTAGTTTCAGGAGATGAATGCATAGCTCAAGGGGGAAGTGGAACGTGATGGGGTCTCATTTTAATGCCTCTCAAGACCTGGTAATTTAAAGGGACTCACATTCCTCAGATAAAAGTGCTTTCTCAAGAGAAATAATCAGGGCAAAGCCAAGTGCTGCAGGAGCTTTACATGAGGATGATTATTCCCACTTCACAGCGGGAGAACCTGTGAGGTTCAGAGGTTTGGGATGGTAGGCCTTCGACTTAAGCCAGATCGAGAAGTCCAGTCCCCAAGAGGCATACTGTCCTGGTGGATACCAGGAACAAGCTTGAGTGCTGTGTTCTAAACTCTTGGTCCCCTTTAACTTATTTAACCCTAAAAAATATCCTGTGAGTTAGCTGCTCTAGTCATCTTCATTTCACTGCCAAGGAAAGTGAAGCGCAGATAGTTAACCAACGTGCCCAAGATGCCCAGCCTCTTTCCCTCAATCCACAAATCACTGAACCAGACTCCATGCCAAATACCCTTCGCCTCGCCAGGATTAACGGTGGCGCCCACGACCCGCGTTGTGACGCCACCCAACGTCCTCCGGAAGTGCACAGAGGAGTTCCGGGGACCAGGCGACCGCCGCGCGACTGGTGTCCTGAGCTTCCTGAGTTGAGCGCTGCTGCTCCGCGGTGGGGTCACCGCAAGGCCGCCGAGATCATGGTGTTCTACTTCACCAGCAGCAGCGGTGAGTGGGCGCCGCGTCCTCCCCGGACCCTGCTGGACAGCGGGCTCCGATGCCGGGATCCCGTCCGCCGCTGCGCCTGAACCTCGCCCTAAAACGCCTCCTCGATGCCAGTGCCTCTTCCCGCGGCCGCTCGGTCCCTCAGCGCGTCTGTCCCTCTCACGGCGGCAGGGCTTCCCCTGGCGTCCCCTCGTCACGGCGTGGGGGGCGCGGAGGGGCGATGCCACTGCTATGTTTGTATCTGGGAGTTCTCGTCCCCGAGTCGGAAGGACGTCTTGTCACTCCCTGGAATTGGGCAGAGCCTGTGGGCTTCTCCACACACTTTATCCCAAGTCTTCTTCCCACCTTCCATCTGCGGCTTTTATTCTGGCTGCACCCTGGCAATTATCCCCCGTGAGAAAGGAGACACCCGCTAGCAACTTTTTAAGGGAAGTGCGCCTTACCCTTTCAGGAAGGGGTTGTAGGGTCTGGGACGCAAAGGAAAGCAATAAAAAGACTGGAATGTCACACAGACACTTCCTGGGCAGTTGATGTCCCAGATCTCGAAAGTGACCTATGATAATGCTTCTGACTTAATCTTTGGCAATAAGGAAAGGGTGCCTTTCGTTCCCGGGAACTGCGGTGTCCCGACTTGGCTTTATTCTGTTCCTGTTATTGCCCTTTCCTAAAATGAACCCCCAGCTGATTCCCTTAAGACAGTTTTGGCCCATCATTTCCAAGATGCCTTTCCTGATCCTAGCTCCCACCCCAACAGTGCTTAGCTATTCCTTTTCTGGGACCCACTTAACGTTCCAAGTATGCCTTTGGCATTGCACTTATCACGTGGTGGTATTAAATGGCGTCTGCTTGAGCTAGAGTGTAATCCCCTTGAGGGCGTGGACAGGATCTCTTTACAGTACTGCTCTTTACAGTACTCCCTACTTGTCCTGGGTTTCACTTTCTGTAGTCATATCATAACAAGAAGAAAAAGAATGAGTACAGTACAATAAGATATTTTGAGAGAGCGAGAGAGCAGATTCACGTAACTTTTATATCATATTGTTATAATTGTTCTGTTTCGTTGTTGTTGTCAATAATCTCTTACTCCACCGAACTGATACATTATCATGGGTATATAGGAAAAACTAGTAGTCATGCATCCCTCAGTGACAGGAATATGTTCTGAGAAATGCTTCATTAGGTGGTTTCATCGTTGTATACTTAAACCTGTGGTGCCGCCTACTGCAAATGCAGGCTGTGCCGTATACCGTGTTGCTCCTAGGCTACAAATCTGTCCAGCACGTTGCTGTACTGAATGCTGTAGGCAATTGTAAAGCAATAGTATTTGCGTATTTAAATGGGCCTCAACACAGAACAAGCAATGAGTTGCACAACAGTGTTATGATGGCTACCAGGCCATCAGGCGAAAGTGATCGAAAATTTTCAGCTCCTTTATAATGTAATGGGACCACCACATACGCATGGTTTGTTGTTGACCAAAGCATCATTATGTGGCAAGTACCTTTATATATGGAATTCAGTACTGTTCTTGCTTTCAGGCATCTATTGGAGATCTTGGAAGGCATCCCCCCCAGATAAGGGAGGGCTACTGTACTTGTTTCCCTAACTTAATGACTGGCTAATAGTTCTCAATAAATGCTTGTTGAACAAATGAATGGCATTTTTTCACTTACTCATAGCACTTTGTAGTCTATTGCTACTCTGTATGCTTGCTTGTTAAAAGTGAGGTTTGCTGTAGTGCAATGGTGCAATCTCGGCTCACTGTAACCTCCACCTCCCGGGTTCAAGCGATTCTCCTGCCTTAGCCTCCCAAGTAGCTGGAATTATAGGTATGGGCTACCATGCCCGGCTAATTTTTTTTTTTTTTTTTTTTTTTAGTAGAGACAGGGTTTCTCCATGTTGGTCAGGCTGGTCTCGAACTCCTGACCGCAGGTGATCTGCCCGCCTTGGCATTCCATAGTGCTGGGATTACAGGTGTGACCCATTGCACCCAGCCTAAAGGTGAGAGTTAGTTTAGTTTATTTATTTATTTTTGAGACAGAGCCTTCCTTTGTTGCCCAGGCTGGAGTGCAGTGGTACAATCTCGGCTCACTGCAACCTCCGCCTCCTGGGTTCAAGTGATTGTTGTGCTTCAGCTGGGTTACAGGTGCCAGCCAACATGCCTGGCTAATTTTTTATTTTTAGTAAAGACAAGGTTTCATTATGTTGCCCAGGCTGGTCTTGAACTCCTAAGCTTAAGTGATCTGCCTACCTTGACCTCCCAAAGTGCTGGAATTACAACAGTGAGGTTTTCGTGTGTGGTTTCTGGTTTTTGTTTTGTTTTGTTTTGTTTTTTGAGATGAAGTCTCTCTGCCATCCAGGCTAGAGTACAGTGGTATGATCTCAGCTCACTGCATGTTCTACCTCTTAGGTTCAAGCAGTTCTCCTGCCTCAGTCTCCCAAGTAGCTGGGATTACAGGCACATGCCACCATGCCCAGCTAATTTTTGTATTTTGTTAGTAGAGACTGGGTTTCACTATGTTGGGCAGACTGGTGTTGAACTCCTGACCTCAAGTGATCTGCCCACCTTGGCCTCCCAAAGTGCTGGGATTAAAGACATGAATCACCATGCCCAGCCAAAAGGTGAGATTTAAGTGAAACTAGTTCCACATTGTCTGTGTGGGTTTGAATAAGGCGATACTTTCTCTTTAGAAATAAAAAGATTGAGGCCCAGGGAAGTTGTAACTCATAGACCACAGCCTTACTCCTTCGTCACACTTATATCTCCTTATTTTTCTCAGTAGTTCAGGCTTCCACAGTGTGTGCCATAAGCTATTTCTCTGCCTCTGTACCTGTGGTTTGTTTTACCCATATTATTAAAATTATTAGAAACAAAATTCAAAACCCAACTTCGAAATCAGTGACTCTAACCCCTGAATGTGTTAGAGAGCCCATTAAAATTTGCAGCACACCTGGAATATGTATAATATTGCCTAATAAAACTATGAAAAATAAAACTTTGGTAAACAAGGGAACTTTGTTGTGGGGTTTGGTTTTGTTTTCTTTCTTTCTTTTTTACTCTTAAAGAAGGCAAAAGTGTAGGACTGGACTGGGGATCCCATTGAGCTGTAACCCTGAGAAAGCAGGAAAGTAGTCAACAGTCATTGGTAGCGATGGTAGACATCTTCTTTTGGGGCCAGATAGTAATTTTAGGTTTTGTGAGTCACCTACAACCTCTGTAGCTTATTATTTGTTTTGCTTTTTTTTCAACCCTTTGAAAACGTAAAAACCATTCTTAGCTCAAGGGCTGTCCAAAAACATGTGGGAGGCTGGATTTGGATCATGGGCTGTGGGTTAGACAACCCCTAATCTAAGCATTGTCTCTTGTTTTTCACATGAAACAATTTTGTTGGTGATGAAGTTACTAATTGTTTTTTTTTTTTATCTTAGTGAATTCATCTGTCTACACTATTTACATGGGAAAGGATAAATATGAAAGTAAGTGGTCAAAAGCATTTGGTTTTGAAATTTTCAGCAGGTAAGTGTCGTCTCTCACTCACCACCTTCCATGCCCCTACCCAGTTTGTTGGTTCTGAGTTTTTACCTACTTTGATAAACTAGCTTTTGAGAAACAAAACAAGCTCGCCCCGTGTAAGGAACTCCAAAGGATTAACTTTCCTGGAATGTCATTATATCAAATAGTATTTGAACTAATTGGTTCATCTGTTGCTGATTAGAAACTTTATAACAAGTATTTTGTTGTTATTTGATTTATGGTAATATAAATCAGAGATTAACCTTTGCTAATTTACTTCAAATAAAAAAATCCTCTGTGGTTTGAACTTTGAAGAGATCATTTTCTGTCCATCTATTTTTTTTTTTCTTTTTTGAGAGGGAGTCTTGCTCTGTCGCCCAGCCTGGAGTGCGGTGGTGCCATCTCCGCTCACTGCAGCCTCCGCCTCCTGGGTTCAAGTGATTCTCTCACCTCAGCCTCCCAAGTAGCTGGGACTACAGGCACGTTCCACCACACCTGACTAAC